ACTGGGCGTCAGCAACCGCTTCACTTTGCCAACTTAACCAGTCTCGGTGCCTGCCCTTGCCAGGATCATCACTTTTCTTGCTCATCTTTTAATCAATGCTTCATAAGCCGCCCAATGTGATTCCTTCGACCATTCCCTTGCCACCATTCTACTTGTTGTCCCCCTTTAAAAGCCTCCCCTCACTACCACTTTATGTCCAGCGTGCTTTCCTTCTACACCACTTGATCTGCAACATCTTTCCTCATCACAGTAACAGTGTACAGCAGCAGTCGGTTCTGCCTAGACAACACTGGCCTTCAAAGCGGAGAGCAGCAGCTACATCATCAACCTGCGATATGTGCATCACCACCAGGACGCCTCGACACTCCGTTCACCAGTCAGCAGCATCGCCACCTCGCCTAATCGTCTGATGATTCAGCCGTACTGCTCGAGCAAGCCCACCTGGACCAGCACCATTGCCCTCTTCCACTGAATCGCCCCGGCCACTGAACAGCTCCACCGCTCGAGATGTGTGCATGGAACATTGTTCTGTGGGGGCTGATGCTGTTCATTCGCCACCTGCACGCCGAATTCATCAGCACTGGCTACACGAGCAATGAAGACAGCTCATTAATCGTTCGCACCACAAAAGGCCTAGTGAGGGGGAAACGAGTCGTCTCGGTGACTGGCAAAACAGTCGATCAGTTTCTCAGCATTCCCTATGCAAAGCCACCGGTGGGCAAGATGCGCTTCAAACACCCACGGCCGATGGACCCCTGGGAGGACATCTTCAACGCCACCAGACCGCCCAACTCGTGCTATCAACTGAATGACACCACTTTTGGAGATGAATTCCCCGGCAGTATGATCTGGAACCCCAACACCCCAGTCAGCGAAGACTGCCTCAATCTCAACATTTGGACGCCCTATCCTCGGGCTCAGGGTGCAGCCGTCTTGGTGTGGATTTTCGGCGGTGGTTTCTACAGTGGCACGCCCTCACTCACTCTCTACGACGGGCGAACAATGGTCGGTGATGAGAACATCATCCTCGTGTGCATCAACTATCGTCTGGGCAATTTGGGCTTTCTCTACCTGGAGAAGGCACGCCATGAGGCGCCAGGCAACGCAGGAATGTTCGACCAGCTAATGGCATTGCAGTGGATACGCGACAATATTGGCTTTTTTGGCGGCAACCCCGACAATGTGACGCTCTTCGGTGAAAGTGCAGGCGCTGTGAGCATCAGCTTTCACTTGCTGTCTCCACTAAGTCGAAACCTCTTCAGTCAGGCGATCCTGCAGAGCGGAGGGCCCACGGTGCCCTGGGGAACGACGCCCCTGGCGAAGATGAACCAACGAGGCCTTCTTCTTGCTGAAGCAGTCGGCTGTCCGAAAGATGAGGACACACCGGAACTGACAATGGAGTGCTTGCGTAAGGTTAGTGCTCTTTCACTGGTCGGCAATGAAACCAATGAAAGCTACGGAGTGGTCGAGTTTGCCTTCACCCCTATCGTCGATGGCGTTTTTCTCGACGACCAGCCGGAGAAGCTGCTGGAGAACAAGGACTTTAAGCGAACCAAACTGCTGCTGGGCAGTGTCAGCGAGGAGGGCACCTACTTTATCATCTACCACCTGACTGAGCTTTTTAAAAACTCAGAAGACGTGTACCTGACCAAGGAGGACTTTGTGAAGACGGTGAAGGAGCTCACGCCCAACATGAATCGAATCGGGCAGGAGGCAATCATGTTCCAGTACACTGACTGGCACAATCCAGACGACACCATTAAGAACCGAGACGCAATTGACAAGATTGTCGGCGACTACCACTTCACCTGTCACGTCAATCGACTCGCCGACAAGTACGCTTCAGTGGGCAATGAGGTGTACATGTACTACTTTACACACCGCTCCACTCAGAATCCGTGGCCAAAGTGGATGGGAACGATGCATGGCGACGAAATCAGCTTCATCTTCGGTGAGCCCATCAATCCCAAGTTTGGCTATACAAACGAAGAAGTTGTCCTCAGCCGACAGATGATGAAATGCTGGGCAAACTTTGCCAAATCAGGGTATGCTTATTTTTCAACTTTGTACTTTTATCCTAATACCTTTTGATTTACAGTAATCCAACATTAGATGAAAAGGGCGTCTGGTCTCAGCTGCACTGGCCTCTGTACACTACTCACAGCAAAGAGTACTTGACACTGGCCGTCAACACCACAGCCATTGGACGTGGCCCCAGAACGAAACAGTGTGCCTTCTGGCAGAATTACCTTCCCAAACTCATGAAAGATGTTGGTAAGATGTGTATTACTTCAATGTAAACTTTTTTAGCATAACAACATTGACACCCCATTTCTTCACATCTTTTGCAGCTAAACTTGAAGAGAAGAGTACACAATGCGGTAATTCTGCATCAAAATGGACGACAAACAGCCGGAACTCTTTCTTCTTGATACTAATGATAGCCATCTTAATGCTCTAAAGATGCTGTAAACAGCTGAACCTCTATCGAAGTTGTAAACGAGTGAAGAGAGTACCTTTTCTCGGTGAAGAAAACCACTGTGGTGAATGAAGTGGTCCGACCTCTTCTTCCACACAGACCCGTTGCGTTGTAGAGAAAGTTCTCCTTAAAATAGTGCCTCAACTGAACCTGAAAGCATTGTACAATTCCTCCGTTGCCCAGAATATTACCTAGTGATGTCCAGATCAGATGAAGCAGATGAGATGAACGATGAGCTTTGAGCGTACCGTACGAGCCCTCGACTGACCGCCGATGCGAGCCGATCCACTAGCGGCATTGTCCACCGTCAAATGCAGTATCACCCGAATCAGTTGCTGAAAAATGCTGTCGTCAGTCTGCCGCCTCAGTCGACCTACACTGTCTCCCTTCTGAAGGGCACTTCACCACCGCCCACTCGCCGCCCTTTTTGCCAAGCAAGCGGACCTAGCAGTTACCGAACTTCTCTAATCTCTTTCTCTCTCACTTTTTCTCCTCACTGTAACCTCATTCTACCAACTCTCTACGCATTCCGATGCAGACCTATGGTTGTGACTCTTGCATTATTTCAACTACCAACTTACTTTTATCTCAAACTCTGTCAAACTCTGACACACCTCCCAAACTGCTCCTCATGCGCTTATCACATCCCAATTTATTTTACTACCACCACTTTTTCTCCCTCTTTTTCTCCCGCTCCCACTTTCCACTTCTGCCAAGTTACCGCCGCCGCTGCTACAACAAATGCAGTGGTCGGCAATTGGTCGACCATTCACTCACGCCCGTTCTATCGCTAGCCATCAGAGCGCATCTTGTGATACTTTCGCTGGTTGCCCACCAAATCCTTCTTTTAGATTTGACCAAGCTTTTACTTTCTTTTCTCTTTTTTCCTTTCCCTTCCTCTCACGCTCTCCCTCTCCTCCAGTCGCACTGTAGCGCCTTGGAAGCAATGCTCCTCTCCTTCGAGTGCGGCTGGCTGCAATGCTCGGCGGAGACTTCCGATACCACTTCTATCTTTTCTCTATTACAATTACACAAGTTGTTATCTTTTACTCTTGTCCTTTACCCGACATTGTTATCATGACCAACCTCAACTCACGCACCCCACACCACCGACAGCATAGATCCACTTTATTCTGATGAATTTTGATGACTCCATCATTTTGTCAATTTTGTAATGCTACTTCTATTATCATTTAAATCTCTAAGCCTTTCAAAATAGTCATGTATTATTATTATCGATTATAAATAAAAATAAAAATTGTTTATTACGATCTAATCACAATTTTCGTGTCAATTTTTAAATTCAGCACGTCTTCTTTGAACAGTATCTGCGGCACGTGGGGATGCAGCCGACGCACGCGATTTTTTTGTTGTGTTTATTTAGTTGCTTCAACTGCTGCTCTCTTCACTTTGGTTCCAGGACCAGAAAGTCTCAACATGGATTCTACAACGTCTCAGCAGCATCAACAACATAAACAGCACAAAAATAAGAAAAAGAAGTCCAAAAATGATGATTCTACTGTGACTTCAGCTAAAGGAAAAACTCACAACTTGAAGGCATTTGCTTTGAAATCTGCAGTTAAAGCTGAACGTTCTTACAGACGAAAGCAGGACATCATAGCCAAACGAGAACATGCAGCCCAAGTGGACCGAACTCCTATTGAGCCACCACCAGCAGTTGTCGCCGTTGTTGGCCCGCCAAAAGTGGGCAAGACCACATTGATTCGGAGTCTCATTCGCAATTACACACGTCAAAATATTAGCCAAATCAATGGGCCAATCACGGTGGTCAGTAGCAAAAATCAACGCCTGACCTTTATCGAGTGCAACAATGATATCAACAGCATGATTGACGTTGCTAAAGTTGCCGACCTAGTGCTGCTTATGGTGGATGCTAGTTTTGGCTTTGAAATGGAAACTTTTGAATTTCTCAACATTTGTCAATCACACGGGTTTCCTCGTATTATGGGCGTCCTCACCCACTTGGACGTGATCACTAATCCAAAGAAACAACGACGTACTAAGAAACAACTGAAGCATCGTTTCTGGACTGAAATATATGCTGGAGCCAAACTCTTCTACCTGTCGAAACTACTGCACAATGAATATCTGAGAAACGAAGTGCACAACCTTGCGCGGTTTATCTCTGTGATGAAGTTTAGACCCCTTCAATGGGTGAACAGCCATCCGTACATGGTGGCTGACCGTGTTGAAGACATCACCAATCCGGAAGATATTCGGAAAAACGCCAAATGCAATCGGCGGGTGTGCCTTTTTGGCTACTCGAGAGGAGCCAACTTTAAAGCCAATCAGGAAGTTCACATTCCCGGTTGTGGTGATTTCACTCTCAGCAACGTGAGCTTCATTCCTGATCCATGTCCACTGCCCAACAAAAACAATGGAGTAAAGAAGCGAAAATCGTTAAATGAAAAAGATAAGTGCATCTACGCTCCCATGAGTGGAGTGGGCGGAATTGTTTTCGACAAAGATGCCATATACATCGACCTAGGGGGCAGTCACTCAAACGACCCGAATGGCGCAGAACAGTCGTCCGAAGACCAGCTCGTCTCTGCTCTCAATCAGAGCGAAGCTCTCGATGAGCAACTTGCTTCCACTGAAATGAAACTTTTTTCAAACACTTTGCCCGTCACTTATGATGATGCTCAGATATTTGCCAATGGAAAACCTGAACGTGTTCGGCGAAGAGTAGCTTTCAACACTGAAGATGGATCTGGTGGTGAGGAAGAGGATGACGAAGAGGAGGAGGAGGAGGAGGAAGAAGAAGAAGGTGACGATAAATCGATTGATGATGACGATGATTCGGACGCAGACGAAAAGCAGGAGCTTGAAGAAAATGACGAAGAAGTAGATGAGCAATATCAGTTTGATAGCTCCGAGGATGAAGATGACGCGTTTGGCATGGAAACGGAGAGAAAAAATAGCTGGAAAGATGATTTGCAGAAAAAAGCATCAGAGGCATTCTACGAGAGAATTGCTCGCGTGGACAACATTCAAAAGATAGTGTACGGTAGCTTTTCTCTCGAAGAGGATGCAACTGCTGCTGAAAACGGAAAAGAGCTTTCTGATGGCCTTTTCAAAATGGTTGAAGTCAAGGACAATGTCCACAACATGAAGTTTACGCTCAACTCTTTAGAGTGCACTAAATTCCCAGACGACTTGCTTATTGACTTTTCTTCAAAATCTAAACTTAAATTCATCCGTGATTGTTTTGTCACTGGCAAGTGGGATAAGGATGAAGACGCAGAAAAGGTTTTGGCAAAAGATGACAATGCTCGTAAACAGATCCTTGATGATGGTGACATGGAAGAAGACGAGGAATCTGTGTACGGAGACTTTGAAGACTTGGAAACAGGGAAAGTCTTTTCTGCTCAGAACTCTGACGAAAAGGCAGCAGAAAACGGTGATACAAGTGAAGCAGATGCTGACGACGACGACAATGACGATGACGACGATGACAATGATGATGAGCGAATCAGACAAAAGAAGATGCGAAAGGAGCAGTTTGACGACGAGTACGATAATCTAAAAAGCTCTGATGTTATAAATCCTGAGGAAAAGACGTTTTTGGATTTGGAAAGAGAAAAAATGAAACAACAAAGCGAGGTAAACTTATAGAAAAAACGTTTCACTTTTACAAACTGTTCTAACGGTACTTTTCTTTGCAGTTGAATCGCCAAGAGTTTGAGCACTTGCCTCAAGAGCAGCGAGTGCACTATGAGGGCTTTCGCGCCGGCCTTTATCTTCGCGTGGAAATTGAGGACGTCCCACACGAGTTCATTGACAACTTTGACCCAACTTTCCCTATTGTCATCGGCGGCCTGCTGAGTGGCGAGTCACAGATTGGCTACGTCCGCGTGCGAATTAAGAAACACCGATGGTATGGGCGAATTCTCAAAAACCGCGATCCTCTTATTATTTCGATGGGCTGGAGACGCTTCCAGACACAGCCGCTCTTCTCCGTAGAAGACCACAATGGACGAAATCGATTGCTCAAATACACACCTCAGCACATGCACTGTCTGGCCACATTTTGGGGTCCAGTGACGCCGCAGAACACGGGCTTTATCGCTTTGCAGAGTGTCTCCGAAAGGAGCTCGGACTTTCGTATTGCAGCCACCGGTGTTGTGCTGGATCTCGACAAGTCGGCGCAGATTGCCAAAAAGCTGAAGCTCATCGGCAAACCGGTGAAGGTCTTCAAGAAGACGGCATTCATCAAAGACATGTTCAACAGTGCGCTGGAAGTGACTAAATTTGAAGGTGCCGCTCTTCGCACTGTCAGCGGAATTCGGGGACAGGTGAAAAAGGCCATCAAATCGCCTATCGGAGCTTTTCGAGCCACCTTTGAGGACAAAATATCGGTCAATGATATCGTCTTTTTGCGTAGCTGGTTCACCGTGCCTATACCAAAATTTTACGCAACTGTGACTTCGTTACTACTGCCACCGGCAGAGAAAACGCAGTGGACAGGAATGAAGACGGTTGGCCGACTACGCTTCGAGCAGGGAATCAAAGCGCCAAACAATCCACAGTCGCACTACACTGAAGCTAAGCGGAAGGAATTTCACTTTAAGCCCTTCAACATTCCGAGCAAACTGCAGGAGCAGCTGCCGTACAAGTCCAAACCCAAACTGAGCTCACGTAAAGTGAACACTATTCAGCGAGTGGCCGTTATTAAGGATTCACATGAACGGAAGACCGATAATCTAATTAAAAAACTCAAAATGGCTCATAAAAATCAGCAGAGAAATGATCGCCAGGCAATGAAAAGACGAGCGGCTCAGCATAAAAAAGCAAGTGAAAAGATTGACGAAAACCGAGCAGCCAAAATGAAAGAGCGGAAGAAGGAGATTATGCGAAATCTCGGAAAGGCACATAAAATCTGAGTAAATTATTATTTTAATTGTTTGATGATTTTATAAAACAATAAAACTATTTTTTGTTTTTAAAAAATTGCTGAACCTGAGAGAGTGACATGTTAAAGTTATCACATGTAGTGTAGCGATTTTTTATCCAGTCAGACAGTTTCGTTTTGACGCTGGTCTTTGTGCAGTACCGACTGTCCAGGAGGATAATGGCAGCATAGTCGTCCTTGTGGCGAATGGCACGGCCAATTGACTGATTTACTGCACGCATGCAGAGATTCTCGTAATACTCCTAAACGCAGGAAGAAATCATCCATTTTGTTATTAGGAAAAATATAATCTTCCAGCAAACTTACATTAGCAAGGCCAGCTGAGCTGCGCTCCAGAAATGCCATTTTCTCTTGAAGTTCAACGGAGTTTTTGTTGGCATACGGCAGACCAAGGACGATGACCCCTCGACCCAGGTCATCACTGAAGTTGATTCCTTCGCTCATCTTTCCGCCAATCACCGAGAAGAGGACGGCGCCGTTCGACTGGCTTGCCTTGTTCACCCGGGTGTAGCCGTTGAGAACTGCCGCCGTTAGTGTGGCTTTCCTTGGCTCTTTAAAAACGCGCTTGCACGATTCTATTCGTTTGAGAATGCCCGACTGCTGCCACTGTTTTAGCACCAAATCTTCGTAATCATAAGAGGGAAAGAAAACCACAACTCCCTTGGGGATAGCCTGACAATATTTTAGCACAGCCTGACCAGTTTCATCAATAGTTTTAGGCAAGCTCCGGCTAGAATAGGTAAAGTTCAGTTCCGCATTATTAGGGCCTCTTCCACATCCGATGGCAATTAAATGGTCTTTCTCAATGACGTGTTCACAAGAAAATGTCAATATTCGGTTGTTGGAGATGTTCAAAGGCTTGAAAAGTTGATTTATATAATCCTCAAACGGCTTCATTGTTCCACCACAAAGAATCACTGATCTACAGTCTTCAATAATTTCCTAGTATTACGAAAATTAATTAGTAAATTGTTGAAACAACGTTTGTAAATACCTTGAAATGAGTGCTCGAGTTTAAAAGTATATATTTGCACGTTGAATCTGCAGGAGTTTCCTGGTTGATAGTTAAGAGAACCTTCCCCTCAACTGAGTAGTCCTTTAGAGCAAAAAGCAACTCTTTTAAAGTATAAAGCATATTTGAGTTGAAAGACTCCTGTGGTAAATCATTGTCACCACCATTGGCTACTTCTTTCGGTTGCTCTTTACTGTTTGTAGCAGGAGTGACTTCTTTATCTTTTTTAGTTGCGGGACCACTTTTGACTTTGTTCAGAAATGCAAGTGTTCCGCTGATTTTCGTCTTTTTTATAACTTCTTCTGATGGTGGCTTGAGTGAAAACATGTACAGCTTGCTGGCAATGTGGCTCTTGTCAATAAACTCTGCCAGCTTGTAGATATTGATACGCTCAATTTCTAGTTTAAGGACAAACTCCAGTGGATTATAAGATCGCTTATCTCCTGCAAGTGCTTTCAACGAGAGTTGCAGTCTTTTCACGATGAATATGAGTTGTTTCAGATACATGAGATTCAGTGGATTAAATCGGGAGTAATACTTGGTCATGTACTTGGTCAGTAGAGTTTGCAGCATCTCTAAATGACGCTGACGAATTTCAATACTGTAGACGTTGGCTAGTGTTTCAAGCAAGTTGTGTGCTTCGTCAATGATTATCACAGAGTCCTTCAGATGAATACCGAAACTGTCACGAGTGCCTTTGTGCAGGAGAATGTTGTACGGCATAATGACAATTTCCGCCTCAGTCAGAGTTGATCGTGAGGCATAGTAAGGACATGCTTTCAGTTGCTTTGCCTTTGTCACGATATCTTCAAGGTCCTGAACGTTGCCTAGAATCTCCTCGTTGAGCTGCTGTGTCAGTGATGGCTGGTTCATGCAGCACTTCTTTTTGCCATTCATTAATTCTTTGCACTTTTCGTTAATCACATTGACATTGCTGAATCGATTTACATCAGGGTTTACGCAATAGTTTACCCGGGAACTCAGTGGAACCAGCATGAGCGAATTATGTTCATTATGGTACTTTTTTGTTTTCTTAACTTCGTTGATGAACTGGGACAGCTGTGAATGAGTTCGGCTGCAGTAGTAAATTTTGGGCTTGTAAAAATTGTCCCACTTTTTCTCATCATCCACCTCGTCTAAAAGTTCTTCCGTATCACAATATTTGACGATTAGTTCATTCTCTTCATCAAACATATCGTAATCAGACTGTCTTTTGGTAGTGATGCTCTTTGATTCAGCAGCTGCTACTTCACGAAAGCGTCGCATTTTCGCCCTCTTCCTAAGCTCTTTTGAATAGGTCACATGTTTGTTGATTTTATCTAATGTTTCGTCATGATCTTTGATTTTCAAGTTGACTGAAATTTTCTTAGATTGGGCTTCAACCCAGTCTAAACTGCTGTCGGCGTTACTGCAGCTTAATTTCATGTTTTCAATTTCTTTGGTCAGTTGGTTGATTTGATTAGCTCTATGATCTTCAATCCACTTGAGGGCAGAGCAAATAATACTGAGCGACTTGCCAGTTCCAGTAGGACTTTCAATGATTGCGACCTTTTTTTCTTCTATCGACTCGTAAATTTTGTCCATCAGCTGCAATTGGATTCGATAGGGCTCATAGGGGAATTCATAATCACGGCAACTTGAATTTGTATCCATTTTGATAAATTATTGACGACTTGTTTCAGAACAGGGAAAACTGTAAACAAAGCAGTGTTTTGAAAGAACCATGTGATTTTTAGCGGGAAAATATGCTGGCACACAGGGTACGTTACTTTTGGAGAAAACCGGTACAAACGACAAATCAACCTGATAAACTTATTATCTTTGGTTTTATTTGAGTTATACTTAGCGAAAAGTTGTTTTTGTGATAAAAAGTACTTGAAATACTTATTTTTGTCCCTCTAACTTTCAAAACAATTTTTGAATTTACGATTTCCACTATTGCTACAGCAAAGGCAACGAAAAAGGCGGTTAAAAGACTGCTGCTGTTAAAAAGTGCTCTACTGTTTTCAGTGCTTCGCGAGCTGTCCCCACATGAGCGCACGATTCGGAGACCAACTTCAGAAGCTGTCCAAACTTTCTTTTCCAATCTTGAAGCGGGCTTTTGGTGACACTGCCAAAATGTCACAAAAATCAATCACCAGCTTCTTTAAGGCAGTTNGATTTCCACTATTGCTACAGCAAAGGCAACGAAAAAGGCGGTTAAAAGACTGCTGCTGTTAAAAAGTGCTCTACTGTTTTCAGTGCTTCGCGAGCTGTCCCCACATGAGCGCACGATTCGGAGACCAACTTCAGAAGCTGTCCAAACTTTCTTTTCCAATCTTGAAGCGGGCTTTTGGTGACACTGCCAAAATGTCACAAAAATCAATCACCAGCTTCTTTAAGGCAGTTCCTAGCAAGAGGAAGCTAGAAGAAGAGGAGGCTGACTCTCTTAATAGCAGCAAGAAAGTAAGTTTGTTTTAGTTTTGCTTGAGGTGATTAAGTTTGTTTTCTATTCCCTTCACTTCAGATTTTGAAAGACGCTAACGCTGCATTTTCGAGTCAAATTCAAGATGAAATTGATCGTTTGGCTTTGAGCTTTCCTGCTTTGTCTCCAAACATTGGCCATTCTTGGTTCTCTGCTCTCAAAAGCCAATTTTCTCAGCCATACTTTAAAGAGGTATTTTATTGACTGATTGTTTCTATAGTTAACATTTATAATCCCCTACAGCTTAGTGACTTCATTGTGATGGAACGTAAAAAGGCGACTGTTTACCCGCCTCAAACCGAAGTGTACAGCTGGACCCGTTATTGCGAAATTCAGCAGGTTAAAGTGATAATTCTGGGACAGGTATTTTTAAACATTTCATTGTTCAGATTCATTCTTATCGGATTGAATTTTGTTTTAGGATCCCTACCATGGTCCAAAGCAGGCCCACGGTATATATTTTGTTTGAATTTTAAAAAAACTCAACAATTGTTATTGCTTTCAGGAATTAGCTTCAGCGTCTGTAAAGGGGTGCCAAAGCCTCCAAGGTTTGTGTCTTTATCCAATGAATCTCTACTACAACTTTTTTTTATTTAAACAGTTTGGTGAACATTTTCAAAGAGATAAAAACCGAATACCCAGAATTCGTCATTCCAAATCACGGCGAACTCATTGGATGGGCTAAACAGGGTAATAATGTTCTGAGTTTTGATAAATTGTGAACATTTTTAACTTTTGTTTTACCAGGCGTTCTCATGCTCAACGCTTCTCTTACTGTTCGAGCTGGTCAAGCTAATTCTCACGCAGATAGAGGCTGGGACAAGTTGACTGATGCAGTCATTAAACACATCAACGATAACAGTGCCGGTCGAGTTTTTATGCTCTGGGGCAATTTCGCTCAGAAGAAAGGCGCTTTTATCAACATTGTAAGTTTATACATTTATGCAGGCAAAACAATGCCCTTCTAATATCTTCTGTTTTATTTAGAAGAAGCACCTGGTGCTCAAGTCAGTTCATCCTAGTCCACTTTCGGCTTCTCGTGGATTTTTTGGCTGTGATCACTTCAAAAAGGCTAATGAATATCTGCTCAAACACAACAACAGCCCAATCGACTGGACCAAGTTGAACTAATTTTTTTCATCATTTGAATTTTTTTTCCTAATTTTGCTAGTTTTTAATCCCATTCCATCATCAACAGTCAGCAAGCGAGCTTTTCTCAAGGGCTATGCAAAGCCTTACTTTATTATTCACTTTTCATGTTAAAACCATTTTGTCAACTTCAAATTATTAAATTTTCTATTTTTCTGTAACAAAACGCAAACAACAGCCAGACACACACGCAGCAGAAGGTCACACACACCGGCAATCTTGCTGATTGAAGAACCGATTGCCCTAGGCTAATGTTACCTATTTGGTTACTATACTGCAGAAGGAGAGGCACCGATTGCCGTTGACGACGTTCCGCCTTCCTCTTTCCTTCTCCTCCTGCAGTCAGTCTATCACTGTTGTTGTCCTTGGCCATCCCCTTACATATCACCGAAGATGCCTGCAAAGGTTTTACGCAAGTTTCGCATTGTGTCGTCGACCTCGTCTTTGATTTCCTCCACCGTTGACTGGGAGTCTCTCTTGGCAAGCACCGGTCTCTGCATGTCTTGATTTGGCGGCTCAGAGTTGGCCATATTGCTGAATGGCTCGGCGGCTGTGGCGAATGGGTTAGTCTCATTGAAGGGCCTAGCTGGCACATTGGCATTCATGTCGATGGGCCCCTCTTTAGAGCTGCGACGGTTTAGTATTGCATTGGGAATCACTGGGGCGGGTGGTGGAGGGACCGCTGGGGGTGGCATGCCAGCAGTGCCTGCAACCTGTGTACCACCACCAGTGGCAGCAGCACCCACCTGGGCACCGCCAAGAGAAGTGATTGATGCTCCTCGCGAAGGTCTCACTGCCTGTTCAGGCTGCTCGAATGCGTCGTGTGACGAGAAGCTGGCTCGAGATTGCTGCTTTCTGCAAAGAGGAGGCAAAGAGCGTCAGAGTGGTGTCGAACGATGGAGAGCAAAGAAAGAATACTCACATTAAGGTGGCCTTGCTGATGGCATTCATTCGCTGCACAATCAAATCGGAGATGTTTCGCCGGTCCTCTTCCTGGGACTCGCCGAGCAGTGTCAGGGTAGAGCCACACACTTCGAGAATGTATTCCTTGCCATCTTTGCCGACGACAGCTTCAACGGAGCAGATCTCCAAGCCGCCAAACATTTCCGATATGTCGTCGATCCATCGTTTCATCTTCTCACTCACTGGCACCTGTTCGAGCAACGCTGAGCCTACATTTGCTTTCCAGTTTCCCGAAACGGATTTTCGACTGAAGTAAAATAAGATGATATAAATATTTGAATGCTCTTGCAAACAATTACCTGAAAGCTTTATAGCTTGTGCCAATCTTTTGCACCAACAAGTCGCATTTTGCATCGATGAACGGCTCAATGGTGCAGTAGGCCTTGCTCACCAGCAGAACACTACGAATATCCTGGTACTGCTGCAAATTTTCCACTTTGATTTTGCCCAGGCCATTGTGAGATTGTCCAATTTTGACAACACACGGAAACTTGGGAATTTGATTCTAAAACAAAATAGAAAAAACAGTTTTAGGAAAAACTTGGGCAGAATATATAGGCACTAAATCTTACCAGTTCTTTATTGTTTGGGTAGAATGTCTGCTCAATCAAAGGAAAGTTGTCTTTGAGAACTTTGCGCTGTATTGCTAGCAGGTTGGCGAACTGCAAAGGAACAAACAAAGGAATGCCATTAAATGTAAGCTTTGCCTCGAGTCAGTGGCCACCACATACCACCCAGGCTTTGTCTTGCAAGTTGTACACCGTCTGCAGTGAGTTGATAGATGGCACTAGTCCGTACATGAGTCCTTTCAAATTCAGATGGAATCATTAGTTTCATTTGAAGAAGTAACATTACCTGCAATACGTACCAGTAATGATGTCGGTAAAGTCGTTAGAGGCGTCCCGAACGTGTTGTCGCACGAGGACAAAGTCAGGCCGAAAAGTTCTGTTATATAGTTTAGAGTTGGTAAATATAGATTGTGAACTTTTTTGAAGTGAGTTACCTAGCAATTTTAACTCCATTTCGGTCAATTGTATGAATAGAGACAAGAGCACCAAGTTCAGAGTTGGCTACAAGAGTGATCTCTTTGAATTCCGCCTAAAGAATGTACACAAGGCACTTGCATTTAGTAAAAAAAAGCAATTTTTTTAAAAGGTTAACTTACCTGCTCTACTTTAATCTCATAGTCCTGAAAGATTCGCTTGCCACGAAAGTACTTGGACCTAGAGGAGTTGAGCCACGTTGGGTGGCCAACGGAAAGTTAAAAAGAAAGGGAACGCCACAAGTCATCGTAGTTACCAATCGATAAGTTGATCGTCTATGACGAGCAGAATCTTATGGCGGTCCTTAATGGCGGCGGCAGCCTGCGAGGTGACCCTGGCAATGCTCTGCTGAACCGTGTTCGAGACAGAGCCAGTGAGCGAGGTGGCACGCGAGAGGAACGATGACACGCCCTTGTGGGGCGATGTTGGGGCGCTGGTGGTGTTGCTGCCCTTCAGGTTCAACGTCGACGGCGCCGTGGCTGGCTGCTGTTGCTGTTGCTGGGCACCTTGCGATTGCGGGCCCGGGTAAGGGTTCGCCTGGTTGCCGAGCACACTGCCATCGTTGGCAGTGATGATGGCAGGGTCCTGTTCGGGGATGGCAATGCAATGCTTACAATGTCCTCACAAAAAGACAGAGATTGAGTCAGACTGACGTACCTGTTCATCATATCCTTCACCGGAAAGATCTCCCGATGAAAATCGCCTCTTTAAAAAGCTAGTTGTAGAGGCAAAGCTTTGCTTGAACGACGTTGAGGAGAAAATTTTGACGGCTGTTGTTTAGGGCTTCCGGTGAAGCCCTACTTGCATTCAGAGGCAAAGAGATTATTATTTTATGTCAGCGGCTCGAGGTGTCGAAGAAAGAAGAAGAAGATGATGATGAAGATGAAGAAGTGATTAAGAAGAACTGACGATTGAGGTCAGCTTTGGTACGGTGCTCTCGGCTCACAACACAGGGCGCATGTAGCACTGTGGGCAATTGGCGAACCGACTCTCCGGTCGCTTGCTTTTTTTCGGCAGACCAGCGTTGTTCTCTCGGAGTGAGAAGGAGAGAGAGAGTGCACAGTCGTACAACTGGAGCCAACTCCTTGGCCAGAGAGGCAGCCGTCCTCGTCTATATGCATCCTCAGTCGGGCGCCAGTGCACCAGTCGGGCCGCCGATCGATGGTCTCTCCTTGTCTCGATTCCGCTGTACTCTCTTTTTCTGCTATAGAATGGTAACTGCCATTGTTACCAGTTCCATTTCAATGTACCAAAATTGCTTCAATTGGCCAATTGCCCACTTTAGAAGAAGATCACAGACACTGACGGTGGCAGAAGGTCATGGCTAAGCCACAGTCAGTGCAATTGCCTTCATTCGGTTCAGCCAGCCACCAGATCCGACGTGTTCGAGATCAGACCGAGCACGCTAAGATGGCCGTAATAAAAGAGCTTACAACCAGATCTAGCAAAACTTTCGACTTGATGGTATTAGTGCCCTTTAAACACTAGTAATTTCAGCTAAAGTAAAAGCGGTCGCCAGCAAACTTTCATTACTAAACAAAGGGATTTAAATGTAGTCGAGTTGAAGCATTAATATAGATTGAAATTAGTATCTTGAGATTAAAATCTGGCAATTTTAACTTGAAAATAAGTTTGACAAATATAATTTAGTAGCAGATTGTTGCTTACTTTATGAACAAGTAACAATTTGGATTGACCAGTGAGAAAGCAAGCGCCGCTGCGGTAAACCTGCAACTACGATAAGCACTGATCAGATTGATAAGAGGTCATATGCGTCTTTTATAAACAGTGGTGCTAGGTGACTGAACAGTATTTTGCATTTTTGTGTTACGCTTCTCCCGCAACAATGTCTCCCTCCGAGTTTGAACAGTTTATGAAAACTCACCTACCTGGTTTTGAGATTGTCTCTGAAAAGGGACAAAGGATCTTTCGCTCTAAAGTTTCATATGAAAATCATCCTGAATTTGAGAGGATGAAAAAGTACGAAATTTTTGTCAGCAATCTGCCCAACGATCTCTTTGAAAATGAACTGCTGCCGTTTTTGTGTCGCGCTGGGAAGATTTTCCAAATCCGCCTCATCATGAACTTTTCTGGATCAAGCAAAGGAATGGCCTATGTGGTCTACAATGACGTAGAGTCTGCCTTCAAAGCAGTCGAAGAGCTGAACAATGAGTACATTCGAGCTTCGGGAAACTACTGTGATCGTCAGGTGCACGTTACTTTCAGTGTAAACAACAACCGTCTCGTTTTTTACAACATTCCTCCTGAGAAAACAATTGACGAAGTGAAAAGTGAGCTGAATCAAAAGTTGGAGAACGTGACCGATGTCAAACTGTTTACTGACACACAGGGCGTCAATGCGACTGTCACCTTTTCAAGTCACAAGTAAGCTCACTAGAATTGTTTTGTCATAAAGCTAAAATAATAATGTAATCGTTCCTCTAGAGCGGCATCTGAAGCTAGACGAATTTTAATTCCACAAGGAAGTAAGTGTCAAACGGGGAATCATTTAAAAAATAGTACAATTTTGTATCTTAATGAACAGGTTTGATTCGAATCTTTAACGTTAAACCCCGAATTGAATGGGCCAAGCCAAAAGATGTAAGTTGCTTTTGTAACTCTTCAAAGCAAATGTCTGGCAATAATTTAATACCATTTTTTCTACTAGTTCAAGAGTCTCTTTGTACGATTTAACTGCTCCTTCATCAGCCGGGAAACAATACGCAAATACTTTGAAACCAAATTTTCTAGTTTCACTCAACAAATCTCAGTTAGTAATGTAAGCTTATATGAACGCAATGCTTTTGTGAAGTTTGCGACGTTTGAACAAGCCAACTACGTTTTGAAGCGAGCTCGACAAATGCCAAAATCCGGTAATGACATGATTTATTTTGTGTTTTGTATATTGCTACTACTAATTGTTTTATATTTGTAGATTTTACAGTCAGCGAGTACGTTGAAATCGACGAAATTGCTTGGCCTATGCGAAACTAATCAGATTATCGGAGTATTCTTATTGGTCCACGATCTTAACCACCAACGATCTTAAGAATTATCTGTTTTGCTGACAAGACTTTCTAACTATTTGATCTTTAATTTTATAATTTATTCGTGATTCATTCTCTTGCAAATAAAACATCATTTAAAATAAACTTGTTTATAATGACAAAAAAATCGAAAATGAATGCTTTGCTTTATTTAACGTCATCTTTGAATGATTTGCCAAATGTAAACATCAAAACATTTTCATCACAAACAAATGTGCCGTTAGCAAAGCCGTGAATGAGTTCGGTGACAGTCTATCATTCCAGTTGTTAGTTTACCTTCTGATAAGTCTTGCAAGAGCCGTTGCCGTTTGATTCTTTGCACAATGGCTGAGAATGAAATCAGCCCCGAGCTTCAAGAACGGATGAATAGAAATCGGCAAGCCGCCATGGAAAAGTTGGAGGCAAAAAGGCGAAAAATTGCTGAAGAAGAGGCTAAAAAAACGAGCCAACCTGTTAATAAAATGCCTGCAATCAGTTCTCAAAGTGGAGCCAAACCGATGCCGCCAAACTACTTTCAGAAACCTTCTACTTACTACCCGAAACCACCGACTGAAACCAGCATTTACTCAAAAACACCGAATCTGAACTCTGTTTCTGGAACCATTGGCAGTTCAAACTGCTTTACTCAACTTCAAAACAAAACACAACAAAACACATCTAATCTTCCTGCCACACCAGCCAATGTCGTTAAAAAGACTATTACATCTGCCCTAGCAAGCAAGGAACGCTTTATTGTGACTGCTCCATATGACAATCGATTCAACAGAGTTTTCCAACAGTATCAATCTAAGTCATGGAATCCGGCCACCAAAGATTGGTCGTTTGCCCTTAAAGACTACAGTGGAATTTCCAAAGAGCTTTGTGCTTTTGATGATGTAATCTTCAAAGGCATTCCTGAAACTTTGTTAAACCACTTGCTCAAATCCAACAGTAGTTCTACTCAAAGGATCGATTTGACTGAACGACTGCCAAAAGAGTTTGTAAACAATCTGTACGGTTTTCAACGAGAAGGAATCAGCTTTGCTATTCATCAGGATGGAAAGTGCTTGATTGCTGATGACATGGGCCTTGGGAAAACCATTCAAGCAATTTCCATTGCAATGTGGTATAGTGAAGATTGGCCTCTTCTTGTCACCTGTCCAGCTTCTTTAAGATATCAATGGAAGGAATGTTTCATTCGATGGGTTAAAGATTTGAAAGAAGACGATGTTTATGTTGCAGTCAAAGGAACCGAAATACTTCCATCGAAAAGGGTTGTCATTGTTAGTTACGAATTGATGGTGAGGTTGAAAAATCAACTTTATAACCGTTTTAAGATGCTGATTCTGGATGAAAGTCACTATATCAAGAGCGACACTTCACAAAGATCTGAAGTTTCTATCAGTATTTCTCGCACTTGCAACCGAATTATTCTTCTCTCTGGTACACCAGCGCTGTCTAAGCCAATCGGTTTGTAGTTTTGGTTGTTTAGTGCTTAAATGCTTACTGATTTTATATTTAATATCATTTCAGAACTTTTTCCTCAACTTAAAATGCTGTATCCGACATTATTCCACAGCAAACACAGCTTTGGGGTCCGATACTGCGATGGCAAGAAGAAAAATATTTTCACAAAAAAACAAGGCAGAATTCCAATTACTACTTGGGATTACAATGGATCTTCTAATCTGGATGAACTTCGCATCTTACTGGAGACCATAATGATACGACGTCTCAAGCAAGAGGTCCTTGAACAGTTGCCGGCGAAAAGACGTGAAATTGTAAAGTCTTTTTTTGGAATCTTGTAATGTCTCTGCTAACTAACTGTATTTTTTCGAACAGGTATGCCTCAGCATTGATGATGTGCCCAGAAAGAAAGGAAGTACCTTTGGTAAAGAGGCAGTCATGTCAAACTTGAACAAAGAGATGATGTTACGATGGTACAAAGAATCGGCTGACGCCAAGGTGGGCCCTGTCGCAGAGTACATCGTAGACTTTCTTGAGAACGGCAGAAAGTGCATCGTCTTTTGTCATCATCTGACAATGCTGGATGGAATTGAAGAAAAGCTAGATAAGCTTAAAATAAGTCACATTCGCATTGATGGCTCTACCCCAGCGGCAACCCGCCAAGAAGCCTGTGATGTTTTCCAGACAAATAAGAACTTCAATGTAGCCCTGCTCAGCATTACTGCCTGTTCGACTGGTCTCAATTTAACAGCAGCTAACACTGTCATTTTTGCTGAAATTTTCTGGAACCCTGGTGTCTTAGCTCAGGTTTGTGTTCAAGTTTTGCATTTCATACTTTTGGGCTAAAGCAAAATTATCCACAGGCCGAAGATCGCACACATCGAATCGGGCAAGAAAGTGAGGTGCGCGTAATCTACCTAGTTGCTCGAAAGACAATTGACGAGCTCATGTGGCCGCTTATTAAGAGAAAGCTCGATGTCCTCAATAAAGCAGGCCTCAGTAAGGACTCGTATAAAAACACCGGAAACCCTCTTGACCAGAAAGAAGATCAAGTGCTGATGGATGACTTTATTCAAGTATTAGACAGAAAAACTGTTCAAGAAACGTTTGGCCAATTTCTCTGAAGGAATCATTCTTAAGTTGCATCCTGTATTTTTATTAAAAAAAACTTCCTGTACCTAGTGCGAATAATGAGTAAAGTGCCATTTGAATGACTATGAGTTTTAGTTGCCAGTTGGTGTGGGCAGGTCACCTCGCTGTTGCTAGGGCCAAAGTTGAGAGCAGATGAGCGAGCAAAAGAGGGAAAGGGAGAGAGTTTGTGGTGTGAATGGTAAGTGCGCAGTGGCACACACTCACAGTGTATCTGTGCCACTCACTGGCCACATACTGTTTGGCGAAGTCAGCTGTGCAGAGCTGAACAGACGATGGAGAGCACTGCCTCAGATGGAATCATTCCCATCTGGCCTTCTACGACTCCCACTGTTCCTCAGCACACACACACACACACACACACACACACTGCCTACTTTGCCTTCTGCCAAGTCTGCCAGCTTTAGTCGTCGTCGTTAAGGAAGAAGGGGCTCGCTCACTGGTCCACTCATTCACTTACAAGACCTCAGGCCCAGAGAGATGGAGATAGAGTGCAGAAGACCTTGCTTTCAGTCTGTTCTCCCTTCTACACAGAATGCGTTCATTTTTGTATAATTGAATTCAAATGCTGTCTCAAATTGGTTCGGTTATGGCATAGTAGTTGTTCGAATTTTTAGCATAATTATGGGTGCGTTTCGGAAATTATCTGCCATAAAGTGCTTATGTAATTCTAATGCGCATGATGCATCTAGGGAAGGTTTTCCCATAGAGATACAGAGAGCACTTTCGAAGCGAATTAACAGTCAGTTTAAACAACATACGTCATTTGTTTTCACTAAACTCTATCAAATCGCTGATAAGATGTTAGCAAATATTTTTAAAATATATTCTGCAGTGGGAGGCAAAGCAATGCTAAAAGTAGAAACAGCAGAAGATTTTAAAAATTCGATTGGGGTAGTGGCCACACCACAGTCATCACATGGCACTCTACAGCGCTGTGGTGTGGCCACTACCCTAAACAGTAGCTTCGAAATCTGCCTCGTTGTGTTTCTGTCTCTAGTGTTGCCACAACTTTTCACTCAATGCGCAAACGCAACCTGCTCTTCTACGCCAGTCTTCTCTTTTTCTGTTGTTTAGTATGCCCATTTCTCTTTGAAGGTCTGATTTGGAACGTAAATCCAATATTCATCACCTCTTTACTTCATAATCTCCTCCTCAATCCACAAACCATCAACTGAACTTTGGCTCTAGCCTCACGGTCCTAGAAGCTGCCTCCAGGGACGATTCTTGAATTTAGTAAGTGTTTATTACGCACTTGTGCATTGTTGTTCTTTGCTTTTCTACTTTTCTATTGAGTCTATACTTAATGCGCTGCATCTCACATTTACGAGAGTATGCTTGTTTTATTGGCCACAAAATGAAGAGTAATAGCTGAAAGTTTCAATTTGAAATGAACACTTGATCAGTAGTTAAGCTCTGTCTTCTCAAGTCGAGAAGATCTGCAGTTTTCATTTGGTTCACGTGATCAGCTTCCTCATTTTTAATCTACTTTGAAATTGCTCCTAGGACTAGCCCAGAAAAACCTCTAATCATCACATCAAGTTCGTCTACCATTATTTTCACTGAAGCTATTGTGCACAAGCCCAAGTGAGAAAAGTACGCAATCATGTCCAGCCCGTCTGCAGGAAAGCGTCGCATGGATACTGATGTGTTGAAACTGTATGTTTGCCACCGTGTCGCCTGCGACTTTACCATTTTGATATACTGAACTTAATACTCGTCACGTTTCTACTTTTAGAATTGAGTCAAAACACGAGGTTACCATTCTTGGAGGATTAAATGAGTTTTGTGTCAAATTCTTTGGACCCAAAGGCAGTACGTATTGACGCAATAGGAAGCAACCCCATTAGACGTAAACAAGCTTAACACATGTCCTCATTCTTGCAGCTTCATATGAAGGCGGGGTATGGAAAGTAAGAGTGGACTTGCCAGAAAAATATCCTTTCAAATCACCATCTATTGGCTTCATGAACAAGATATACCATCCCAACATAGACGAAGTGTAAGTGATCTTTAAAAAATAATTAAAACATCTAACTAGCCAACACTTGTTTGTTTCTAGCTCTGGGACTGTTTGTCTTGACGTCATAAACCAGGCCTGGACGGCCCTCTATGATCTTTCAAACATTTTTGAATCATTCTTACCTCAACTACTCACTTATCCTAACCCAATCGACCCTTTGAATGGCGATGCAGCTGCGATGTACCTTCACAAACCCGAAGAGTATAAGCGAAAAGTCAAAGGTAAGTGATCTGAGCCGTTTAGTTGACTATTTTACAACGCACTTTGTACTTTTGGTAGATTACGTCAAGAAGTACGCCTCCGAAGATGCACTTCGAGAGCAAGATGACGATTCAGACTCTAGTGAAAGCACAATGAGTGATTTTAGCGACGACGAAACGAAAGACATGGAGATGTGAACTCTAACACTCAATTCGCCGTTTGCATGAATTTTGTTAAATGTTTATAAGTTTATCTACAACATTATCGCTTCATTCGTTATTTTATTATTCACAATTAACTGTTTCCGTTGCGTTCGCCTAGTGACTTGTGCTGCAATATATCTGTACTCTCTGCTGACGGTAAACTGTTCACACCCCACACCACCACCACTACCACCACCATGTTCTATTTTTCTGTATCTATCCAAATTATGTTCCTTGCCATATTCATATTTAGCTGTCATTTATTCACAATTAAGACTTTTTCCGCTTCTCAATTAACTGATTAAAATCTTCTATTACAATCGATTGAGTAGGACAAATGCTTGCTTTTATTGATAAATGGGCGTAAAAAGGTACATGTTATGGTGAAATGAAATAATGGCAAATGGTGATTAGATTTCCTGGCTGAGTTTACTGGGGCCGTTGCTGGTGGAGGCCTTCTTGGGGAGAAGAGCGCTGTGGATGTTGGGCATCACTCCTCCCTGTGAAATGCACACGCCGCCCAGTAGCTTGTTCAGCTCTTCATCGTTGCGGACGGCCAGCTGGATGTGTCGGGGCACGATTCGGCTTTTCTTGTTGTCTCGAGAAGCGTTTCCAGCCAGCTCCAGTACCTGCCAAGATAAAGATCAATTAGCAAATTTAGAATGAGTTAGTTTAGTCTGCACGTTTTACTTACCTCAGCCACTAGATACTCGAGAACGCTGGCAAGGTAAACGGGAGCCCCAGCACCAACTCGCTCCGAGTAGTTGCCCTTTCGCAGGAGACGATGAATTCGGCCCACGGGAAACTGCAGACCAGCGCGAGAGCTTCGAGTCTTGGACTTGGTCTTGTCCACCTTACCAGCTTTACCACGGCCGCTCATGATGAGTTTGAGTTTGGAGAGAGGTTAGACGAGATGTGAAGCGCACGAGAGCTGAAACGCGAATGAAAGAGGCCAGAGCGCGCAAAGGCAGACCGCGCCAAAACACAGGCTAGCGTAACGGTCAACACTCACCGTCCAAAGTAAGCGTACGGTCATTCAGACTGTGAACTGCTCTTCAGCGGGCACCACTGAAATGTTGATAGGTAAAAACTCTAAAGAACACCCATTTTTACCCACTGGATTCCTCCTTGACATTCCAAATTCAACAGTATCATCGAATTCATCTTTTATTCAACCAGAAATGACTTTTCAAACAAAATCATCACAGCAAATTGAACTGGCGCATGCGCAGAAAGGCGCACGTGAATCAGCCTCTCTGCCCTTCAGTGTGTTTTGGTAACAACAACACTTTACTCATCATCTGTGCAATTCTCCGGTTCCTTCGGCATCCACCATGGCTGGTTTAATCAAAAAGGTATTTGCAATTTCTGCAGTTTTCAATTCATCTGATAACTGACTTTTGCATCATTATCAAGACCACAGGCCTTACTGGACTCAAAGTTCTTGCCAATCCTCGTGAAGTAAGTCTGGACACTGGTTCAAATGAGCTGGGAAAACCAGAAAAATCTTATTCTTTGTCTTTTTACCAGGATCTGATTAGAGTCTACAATAAGATAATTTTAACTCTTCAGCAAATTCCCGATAATGCAGCTTATAAAAGCTACACCATGGCGACCGTTAATGATCGGCTTAAAATTGTTCAGAATGTAAGCTTACCCCTGATGTTTGTGAACTTCTAAAGTGATTTGACGCCGTTTTCAAACTTAGGAAACTGATCCAACCCAGATTGAGCAGAAAATTGGCTGCGGTCAGTGTGAGGAGCTAGTGTCTCAAGCTGAAAATGAACTGTCTCTTGCTCGCCGATTTATCGCCGACAAACCCTGGGAGCCTTTGGTTAGTAAGGCGCCAGAAAACCAGTGGAAATGGCCCATCTAAGATAAAAGCAAAAATGCCTTCAATTAACACTATTCTCTGAGAAGTACTGTAATTTATTGTATGAAAATCTTCTCCATACAGTAAAACTAGCCCTTGATCACAGCGATTGGTCGAAGTTTGATGCACTTCTTGCTAATGTTGGCCATGTGACAAGTGTCCACAACGTCGGTTACGTTTTTGTACGATTCCGGAGCCTCTTCCATTACCAGCTTCGGTGATGCCACACGAATTGAGATGCCTTTAGCGGCCAAGTCGTTTAGAACCTCTTGGTAATCGAGGTTGCGTCGGGACTTGGCGCGGGACAGTGCTCGACCAGCTCCATGGCAGGTCGTTCCAAAAGTCTCCTCCATGCCCTTCTCAGTGCCCGTCAACACGTAGCTGCAAGTGCCCATCGTTCCACCAATTAAGACTGGCTGCCCTGTAATCTGCAATCGGTTCACTCATTAGTTATCAGAATATAGCAAAAACCTGTCTCCTTTTACCTGATAGTCCACCGGAATGAGCGGGTGATGAGGAGGAAAGGCTCTGGTTGCGCCTTTTCGATGTACGAGCAGTGTCTTTAGTTGTCCGTCCACCATGTGCTGTTCAACTTTGGCAATGTTGTGGGAGACGTCGTAGATTAGGTGCATATCGAGATCATCTGGTGTGGAATCGAACGTCTTTGCAAAAGCCTGCCGCGTCAAGAATGTCATACTGCTCCGATTGACCCAGGCAAAGTTGGCCGCCGCCGCCATTGCCTTCAGGTAGTTCTGTCCCTCTGAGGAGTTGATTCGAGCACAGGCCAACTGGCGATCATTGACTTCAATCTTGTCGCGTTTCATTGCTTTCTCCATCTCCAGCAGCGCATCGGTGGCCACTTGGTGACCAAAGCCCCTACTGCCGCTGTGAATCATTACGCAGACTTGTCCCACCGATTCGACGCCCATCTTGGAGGCGCTGTACTTGTCGAAGATTTCGTCAACCACTTGAATTTCCGCGTAGTGATTTCCCGCGCCCAAAGTTCCAAGCTGCGGCAGACCTCGCTTCTTTGCCTTCATCGAGACTTTGCTCGGATCAGCGTTCAGCATCCGCCCGTACTCTTCGCAATGTTCTTTGTCTTCGGCCCAGGCGTAACCCTCACGAAGTGACCAGTCGACGCCCATTTCAAGAGCTTCGTCTAAATCCTTTGCAGCCATGGGAATGATGCCCTTTGAGCCGACTCCAACGGGAATATGATCAAACAGGGACTGTGCTAATTGCTCCTTCACAGGTTGAACGTCCTTCTCAAACAAATTGGTTCGCAGCAGACGCACACCGCAGTTGATGTCGAAGCCAACTCCGCCCGGCGAGACAATCGCTTCAGGGTCGGCCATGTCAAAAGCTGCCATGTTGCCAATGGCGAAACCGTAGCCGGAGTGAATATCAGGAAGGCCTATAGACTTGCCGACAATACCCGGCAAAGCGGCCACATTTGCTATTTGCTTTACACCGGGCAAGAAGCCGCCAAATCCTCCTGGCTTGCATGATGTCTGCAGTTCTTCAAACATTAACTTTTCTAGCATTTCATTAACGTAAAAAACGCCTTCAACCTGGGAAACCAAGTAAGTGTTATGACATAACTCAAAGTAAATTAACGAAACCACTTACTTTCATGTTGGGCACAAAGCCTTTTTTGATAGTCCAACAGTTGGGACTTTTTTTCGAGAGGAACTCGAGCTCCTCTTCGTAACTTCGAGTCATATTTGCTATTTAATCAACTTTTAGACTTTTTAGAAAGGTATGTCACTGTCAGGTAAAAAATCAATTGGATTGCATTCAAATTGTCGACAATTGCACGGCATCACAACGTTGGGCAAACGATGAAAGCATCAACAATTGAACAAGGCGACATCTATCCTTCTTTTGCATAAAACTTGGCGCCGATTTTTAAATTGTCCACTTTCGGTATTCGATGCAAGTTTTTGTGCCTTCGTCGGCATTCTACTTTCAGTATAAGATTTTTTCTAAGTTTATACATGTGATCATAATGGCAAAAAGTTTGGGGTAATTTTGCTGTCATCAATAAATGGGCAGCAGTTTATGTAATTTAGCTCTTGAAACCATCACCAATATTATTTGCGTTCCAAAAGAGCAAACTATATACCGAATGCGGCAAGTGTCCCTTGAGCGCGCATGTTTTCACCGCATCAGTCTGAGCATCAGTCCGCATCAGTGTGACCGTCAATTGTTTGCCTCTGTCAACAGCGATTACTTGAGGCTCATTCAAAGTACCACAGATGTCTTTGACACACACCTGAGACATGCATCCCTTGGTGGCATTGATCCTTCTGGTACTTGGTGCCCTGCACTGTCAGACATTCTCCGACAACTATGATTACGCGGACCTGTACAATGTGGCGGCGCCTCAGCAGGCCACGTACGAGACGAAGAACAATCCGAAACGGTACAATATTGGTGCCATTCTCAGCAGCAGCGAGCACATTCATGCCTTTATTCAGGTTAGAAAAGTCAGCTTCCATGTCCAGTGCCCTTAAGTAAACTTCTTTTGTACGAATCACTAGGAAATTGAACGCGTAAACAACGATTCGTTATCTGAAAGTATGTATATGATCTTTTTAAACCTTCATTAAACTTGCATTTTTCCAATCGACAGTATCCTTCAAGTCCATAGCATTTCCCATGTCAATCAATCCCATTGAAACTGCTCAACATGTTTGCAATAAGCTGATCACCAGCGAGGTAGGTGACAATGCAGTGGAAGCTTTTCACCCTCAGCATTTAACATCTGTGTTGATGAATGATAGATTTATGCAGTGATTGTGTCCCACCCGCGCACTGGCGAACAATCCCCGTCATCTGTTTCCTTCACATGTGGCTTCTACAACATTCCCGTCATTGGAATTTCCAATCGAGAGTCCTCGCTTTCTAACAAAAATCTACACTCGTCATTTTTACGGACAATGTTTGTTTTTTCAGTGTCGTGCCAAACAGCTGAGTTTTAACTGTAAGACTTTTTATTATACATCACACAGACCTCCCTTTTCGCATCAAGCAGATGTCTGGATTGAGATGTTACGCAGTATGGAGTACAAAAGCGTGGTCATCATCCACAGCTCCGATAGTGATGGACGTGGAACTTTAAGTCGGTTTCAAAATTTGGCCGATGATGCTAATGGTGAGTTGAGGTTTGTCACCCTTTCAACCAGCATCACTAATCCATCTTTTGGTGTTGCAGTTAAAATTGAGTCCATTGTTGAATACGAGCCTGGAATCTCCAACATAACCCACGAGCTAGAGTATATGCACAAGAATATACACTGTAGAGTTTTCATTCTCTATGCCAGCGCAGCGGATGCGGAGATCATCTTTGACAAAGTTAGCTTTATGGGAATGGACCAGACGGACTACGTGTGGATCGTTTCTGAACAGGTTTGTTCTTTACCTATTTTTCCCTTCATACAATTGACGGCAACTTTATTCGAAAACTTTAGGTTCTAGGAGCTTCCAATCGCCCCAATGGAATTCTTTCCGCAAAGCTACAAAAGTCGGAAGAAAACTTGATGATTACTGATAGTGTCACCGTGCTTACAATGGCTCTGCGAGAAATGTTTCGCACTTTGAACATTACAACACCGCCTAAGAGCTGTGGTGATAAAGAGACTCTTGGTAGGTAAAATTAGTGGTTTTAAAACTTTACAGTAACTTTTTTCATTAGGTCAAAAAAAGTGGTCGATTGGACCTACTTTCTACAAATACCTTCTTAATCAAACGTTCAATGGACGTAGTGGGCGCATTTCGTTTGATGAATCTGGAGACCGCTTGTACAGCGAATATGAAATACTGAACACATTTAACAGAGACGAGAACTCTGTAGGAAAGTACATGTTTGATTCGAATGAAAACAAAATGAAGCTCAACCTCTTTATGCACCTTATAAAATGGCCCGGTAATCAAAACCAAAAGCCGGCTGGATTTTACGTTCCAAAGCACTTGAAAGTTTCTACGATTGCAGAAAAACCATTCGTGTGGACTAAAAAACTTTTGCGCGGAGAAAAGTGTGCTGAAAATCAAATCATCTGCCCACGTTTCAATAAAACGAAGAAAAAAGACGACAATTTTAATGACAAAGAAGCATATATCGACTATTTTTGCTGCGAAGGATACTGCATCGACTTGCGTCAGTTTCGGAATTGCATGCAATTAGTGTCAGTTTTCATTTTCAAACATACTTCTTCATATTTCAGTCAGAGAAATGGCTTCAAGACTCAACTTTACCTTTGAACTTGAGCTTGTGCCTGACGGACTGTATGGCAATTTGGACTTTGTTGACGGCTACGAAAACCCTCGACGATGGACTGGTTTAGTGGGAGAGCTGGTCTATAAGCACGTTGACATGGTCGTCGCACCCCTGACTGCTAATCCTGAAAGGTAAGTTCTGCATCAGCCATGCCGCCATATCATATGACATCATATGTAAAATAAACAACCTTTTAGGAGTCAAGTGATATCATTTTCGAAGCCATTCAAGTACGAAGGCATCACCATTTTGCAGAAGCGTCAGCCGCGAAAAGCCACTTTAGCATCATTTTTGCAGCCATTCCAGAATACCCTGTGGGGTTTGGTGCTCGTCTCTGTGCATGTTGTTGCACTAGCTCTCTACCTGCTGGATCGTTTCAGTCCGTTTGGAGGATACAAAATGGGCGATACTGACATTGAGGATCCGGACGATGGGGCACTCAACCTGTCCGGTGCCATTTGGTTCTCTTGGGGAGTTCTACTCAACAGTGGCATTGGCGAAAGTAAGCTTTACCGCTCCTTTTAATGGCAGTTTAATAATTAATCAAATAACTAACCAAATTCAGAGACCCCAAGTAGTTTTAGTGCCAGAGTTCTGGGAATGTTCTGGTAAGTAGAAATCAGAATTTCTGATTGATGAGTAGCCGTAGTGAAATGCCACTTTGTGTTCCATTAGGGCTGGTTTTGCCATGATTGTCGTCGCATCGTACACTGCAAACTTGGCGGCTTTTCTGGTGCTCAATCCAAGAGATGATTATGCGCTCTCCGGTATTGAAGATGCTCGCTTGCGAAACCCAACTGAAGGCTTCACATTTGCCACAGTCAAAGGAAGCTCAGTAGACATGTTTTTTCGCAGTCAGGTTCACCTGTTTAATGCATACCGCACTATGGAGGAGACTAATCGCAACAGCACTGAAGACGCCATCGAAGCTCTAATCAGAGGTGAGCTGGATGCCTTCATCTGGGACTCACCGAGACTTGAGTATGAAGCGGCGCAAGACTGTGAGCTAGTCCTTTCCGGTGAGCTTTTTGGTCGTTCAGGCTATGCAGTGGGCTTGCAAAAGAACAGCTGGTGGACTGCCAAGGTGACCCTTGCTCTACTGCGACTTCACGAGAGTGGCTTTATGGAGTCACTTGACAATCGGTGGATTCTCGGCAATGAAAAGGACTGTGAGAGTAAGATGGATCATTTCCCGCATACACTTGGACTGAAGAATATGGCTGGTGTTTTCATTCTTGTTTTCAGCGGCATTGTTTTGGCTTTTGGTCTCATTGTCATTGAAATCATTTACAAGGTAAAAATGAAAAGCTCTAATTAAACTGAACATTTGTTTATATCAATTTTCTCAGAAACGAAAGTCTCGCAAAATTCATCGATTATCAATTGCCAAACGGATGGGTATTTATTGGTTATATAAATCAAAGGTAAACGATAGTACAGTCATTAGTTTGATCAAATCATCGGCAAACCAATTATCAATTTACTGATTGATTTGTGCAGAGTAATCGAAGGAAAAACAAGAAACATTTGCGCCACTCCATTGTCGCCGACAATGTTCTCTATAATCCAAGGCATTCTCTAAGCCAAGTGGATCAGTGCGAGTGCAGACCTCATGGGGTGGAAGAGGCGGAGGAAGTGGAGGATCGGTATGTTTTGCCGCCGCCCCCACCACCACCGGTCATTGGCCAGAGGATGGCAAACTATCTCCTTCCAGCGTCAACGCAGCGAACGGCTCAGCAAAAAATTTACGAGTTTAAGCACTGCAATCGAATAGGATACTACTAGAAGACGAGATATAGAGTAGCATAGCAGTAGAAATGTGCACAGTCAATTCGAGTATTTATTGAGATAGTATTTTATAGCGACAATTCGACGTCTAAGACATCGTATTGCACATCACAAACAGTACAATGTGCCGACTGCAAAAAAATAAAGAGATTTAAAATGTCATCAACAACTGGGATAGAGAGAGAGAGAGAGAGAGCTAGTTTGTGAGATGTGTTTTGAAAAAGGTGACAGAACCTGCCAACAGAGGGTACAAATGAAGAATGACCGTTGAGGGAACACCGGTGTGTGTGTATGTGTTGGTGGTTGCAGCTCACTTGGTGGACTTTACCGTCCTAGTCTCTGAATGAGGCTTCAACTGCGAGGGTGTGAGGACGCATCTGCAGTGGTCAGACAGGGCGGTGACCTTATCTGGCAGTGCAGTGCAAAGGTGAGAACGGGTGAATGGGTGTATGTGCATTCCTTCACGTGCAACTAGCCAGGTGACCACCAAATGAAGTGTTTGAGAAGGCGTCAAGGCGCCAAGGGGATTTAGTGACGATCACAAGCGAGTTGTAAGAGTGGTATGAGGTACAATGAAACATTCAGTCAGATGGGAACGATATGGCCGGAGATAGAATGGAAGAGTGTGGTGAGTGGAGAGAGAGAGAGAGAGAGAGAGAGAGACAAATGTACAAAAATATGATGACACCAAAAAGTCACCATCACAATGTTGCAATTGCATCAAGAGCGTCCCTTCCTGAACCAGCAACGATGCAAGCTTGCAATTGATAAAAACAACACTATTTGTTTAGTTCAAAAATTTGATTGGCCATTTGGTCTGATGAAGTGCTCCCCTGATCTTTGTACTTGTTGTAGAGTGAGGGAGGTTCTTCGTGTGTAGAGTTGTTCGAATTGCACATGGCCAACTTTCGCATCTGTCGAATGACTGCTGTGGCGTTGTAGGCTTGCTGAAAGACACAACGAGAAAAGAGTGTGAACACTCAATGCACTGAATGGAATGCGAGCTATACTTACTTTCCACTTTGTTTTCGCAAAGTTCTTCTTCAATTGCTCACTGACAGAGCTGTGAATGTTAATTTCATTGGCAGTATTGCCAGATATCCTGGAAAGAGAAATAGTTTATAATATTAAAATAACTTGTTATTCAATGAAAGGGTGAATGAATAGCTCGGCATTTACCAAGGATGATTGAGAGCGTCTCTACACGTGAATCGCTTCTCCACATCCACTGTGAATAGAATAAAAGCGTCAATTTAAATGATATGATCGTGCTATTTGTGCATTTGCAGGACAACAAATATTACCGCAAATAAGGTGGCGAATAAAGTCTTTTGCAGAATCGGATATTTCATCCCAGTACGGACTGTCAAACTCGAAATCTCCTTTGAGAATTTGCGCAAAAAGATTTGCGTCATTTTCATCGTAAAACGGTGGATATCCGCATAGTAAAATGTAAGCGATGACCCCTACACTCCACACGTCTACTGACTTTCCGTAAGGTTTCTGAGCCAGTACCTAAAATTAGTAGTAAAAGAAACATTGATTATTATGACGGGAATATTTAAGATGAAAAAGTGACACCTCTTACCTCTGGAGCAACATAGCCAGGCGTTCCTGTATTTTAAATATAAAAATTAATTAATAAATCAAAACATTATTTGCAAAATAGCATTTCTGCTAGTCAGCCAAGTATTACTGAAACAAAATGTCAGACATTTCTAATCGATGCCCTAATTTTGTGTTAGAAAGTAAATGAAGGAGCAAAAACTAACCACAAGCGGTTGCCATTATACCCGAATCTTCCATTTTTGAAAGCCCAAAATCACTAATCATTATTTTTGATTCTTCGTCAGCGGAATAGTAGAGCAAGTTCTCAGGCTAGAAAGAAATGTATAAAAGTTAACGTGAAACAGAAAAAGTAAGAAGCAATCTAAGAGTAGTACCTTGAGATCTCTGTGGACTACTCCTTGTGAGTGCATGTAGTCTACCGCCTCCAAAATTTGTTTGATTAAGTAGCTCGCATCCTTTTCAGTGTAACTGCCTTTCTCTACAATTCGATCAAACAGCTCTCCACCAGTGACGCTGCCAAATTAGAAAGTGAGAATCATAAAGTGGAATTACGATTGCATTGAAACCTACAGCTCCATGACGAGGTACACTTTATTGCGATCCTCAAATGTTTCCACTAATCGAACGATGTTCGGGTGCTTCAGTCTAGGCAAATAAATTAGCAAATTAGAGTTAGAGCAAACAAATTAAGTTTTAGGGTCAAATTACTTTCGCAAAACATTGATTTCATTGTCCAGGGAGTCCTCTTTTCCCTTGAGTGCCTTCTTATCGATGCACTTCACTGCTACCATTTGAATTATATTTTCACGGTTCTGAGCCAGGTAAACTTGTGAGAAAGCACCACTGCATTACGAGAAAAGACAAAATTTACCAAGTTAGTGATGAGATGATTCAACTCAACACAAAGTGTATTGCGCAATTGACTGACAACATTAAAAAGCGAGAGACTTACGTTCCAAGAAGGTCTTTTAGCTCATATTTGTCTTCTACACTGATAGGGCTTACGTGTCGGACATCATTTTCGGTCTTGTTGTTTGCCGCTTGGTCTTTGGCTTTTCCGAAGAGCGGCATTATCAATATAAGGTCAAGATAAGAGCAACTTTGCACAAAAAGCTAGTGTCAGTAAACAATAGTACAATAGCCACTGTTGTCGGTGGCTTCGTTTGACAAGTGGCAATGGCTGGTAATGAGTGCAGAAAGCACACTGTCGACACTGGTGCTCTGTCGGCAAAATGTTGATCCGACAAAGCTGAAAAGAAGTTGACGAGTCAAAAAGTGCTCAATCACAGTGCCCGACTGTGCTGTGGCGCGTTAGAGGCTGTAGAGTTTCCAAATACTAGAGTTCACATACATTGCCACCTTGCTCAGGTGTTCGGGTGCTGGTGCTGGTACTTTTGCTGCTGTTGGATCTTCTGCTGCTGGTAGTGCACAGAATGACGTGGGTAAGCTGACTGCTGCTGCTGCTGACTTCTGCTGTTGATTAGTTGCCCACAGGCTGTCGCATGGTGCACACGAGTTTGACAAGGTGCTTTTTGGCTTTGATCTGGGGTAAATCAACACAGGAACGGAAGGAGAAACTGAGTAGAGCTGAGTGATCTGCTTGTTCACTGGCGGCAAACACAGAATTTGTTGGTGCTTTGCTGGCGGCACCGATTAATTGGCGCTCAGTACGCTGCGTTCATTAAATCGATGCCGACGATTGCAATGTTAATTCAATATAAACACACGCAGACACAGACACACTTTCCTCAATTTTGTATTTTTAGCTGAACTACAGCACTGCACAGAGGTTTGCGAGCCTGTGAATGAATGAGAGTGGAAGCGTGAATGAAAAAGGGGGAGAACCTGCAGAGTGACAGTGATAACCAGTTGGTTGACACAAAAGTGACGACAGAACAGGACGACAGTGACACACAATGGAGAGTTCTGACAGGGGAGGTTTGTCAATCGCAAAGAGAGTGAGAAGTCCCAGTCAGCGTGTACCCTCTGCAAGCTGCCACACTGGCTTATGTTGAATGGCAGCAAATGGGTTGCTGTTTAATTTGTTGACATTATCGACATTCAACGGTGCTGCTGCTGCTGCTACTAAACGCGATCATTTCCGAAGCGCGCTACCACCGACGTTGGACACCTTGAGCAGCAGCATATAGAGAGAGAGAGAAAGAAAACTACCGTAGTGCGCCGTATCTCGGATGCTCACAGCTGGCCCGAATGGCCACCGAACCACCACCGCCGCCGCCGATAGCGCCAAGTGGCCTCAAGTCGCCTTGCAGCACTCGCCGCTGAGCTTGCACTCTGAGCATGATCCCCTCTAGCGCACTGCCTCTGCTCCTCTCCACTGCACCATGTGCTCACTGGCTGCCCTCCTCAGCCTCTGAAGTTGGCGTCTTCATAGGCAGCATCAGACGGGGCCGGTCGTGCGGACAGAACAGTCGGAGTGTTCGCTCTACCTCGCCTTTTCTATATGGCCACAGTGTGACTCTCTGGCAGCACTGTCTGCCTTTCCCCTTTCCTTCCTTCCCCTGTACCTCATCTTCCTTACACGACCAGGAGACTGTCTGACTGGTTAGCTTCACTGTCTGAGAAGGCCATGGCTGCACTGAGGATGCTTGTAGATCTAGTCAGTACTTTCCTCCAGTAATTAGCCCAGTCTTTCAAAGAACACTTGTTGTTCTTCAGCTCAGGGTACTACTAGTCGTTTAGCAGTCAGCTGACAATGCCCATATTCCCCAGCAGCAGCAGCATCACCACTAACATACTTATCACTTTCCCTGACGTATTTCGGTGAAGGCGACTGCAGCATGAAGATATGGTTTTCTTCAGAGAGCTTCACTGGCTGACATCAGAGCTATTATACTTCTTTTAAATTACAGTAGCCCACAACAGAGGTAGTGGTACACAATTTTGTGTTATATTGGGAAAACATGCTTGTACAGGAAAAACTGCATGCAAGTGTGTTTTCAAATTTTTACAAAAAAACTGAAAAAATGTTGAAAAAAACTGACAGGTCCAAACTCGGCTACATCCGCTTTTAGCAATGCCATCCTTATATGTACTTGTTTACCCATCATCAATGCACTATTTAAGCTGATCAATTTCAACGGTATCGGCTATTGAAGCATAAGCCTGGCACAAAATAAATTTGCATAAAAATATTTAAATTGTTTTTTAAAAACAAATGTGTTTGATAGTTTTACTTCGGAAAGATTTCAGTAAATCATAAATTCAAAACTTTTGAACCGTCAGCCATCACAAACTTTATGATGTTCTGCCAAAAGAGGGCGCATGCAGCTTGCAAGGCGCCCTCTCTTGAGCTGCAAATAAGTTTTGTTTGAAATATTTCAAACTGCTGGCCTCTTAATCAGTGGCGCCTACTTTTTATTGAAGAGTACAACTAATGTATTCAGAATATTTTCCTTGCAAGATCTGTAGGCTGAGAGCCATAAGAGAAATCGTTTGTTTTCATTTTGCCGGGCAATCAACAGTCATTTCCCGCCGCCTTAGAGCAAGGCCCTTGCTACCACATTCATTTGAATTCCTTTTAGTAGTCTCAAAATGTTCTCCACGACAAGAACTCAACTTAATGATGAACGGGTATTTATGATTAACATGTTTTGAAATATGATTAAGTACAAAATGTATATCTTGTCACAACAGAAGATAAAGCTGGCCATCGTAGACCCAGAACTTTATAGAAACAAAGAATTTATGCTCTCATTGGAGGTAACTTGCCACATTGTCATCATCTACACGAACTAATCTCGTTTTGTTTATCACCTAGAATTTTAACGCGACCATCCAAGCGCTCTTTAGTATTGAATCAATCGTTGAGCATGATTTATCGGAAGATGTTCTTTACATCAGCAGCCACTTTGAAGGGCCCGTCTTCGAGCACTTGCTCAGCAAAAAGAAGCCCATCATCAGTGATCTTATCGTTCAACACTGCATCAAAGAAAGAATTGTAATCAGTTGAATGTCTATTTAACAAACCTGAATTCCTCAGCTTTTTGTTTTCATCCTTATTAGGTTCTTCCCTTTCCCAAGTTTCCCTTGTACAACTATCAGATGAAAAACTTTGTCATTTGCTTCTCAACAACTGACAAGCGACAAACGGTACGTTCTTCTTTCAAGCACTTCTCAATTTCGTTTTCAATTACTATCTACACTACAACTTTAGTTTGTTAACTATTAATGTTTCAATTTAGATTATGATCAATCGCTATTTGAATCTGATTCGGTTCATGGCCGGTCAGTCTCGCCGAGACATGAAGACCGGCAGGTCCTTTGATCGAACACATCTGATTGAGACTACTACTGAGTCGGATAACTACAAGGTAAATGATCCTGCAGCAAAGCATCAACAATTTCAAATAACAAGGTTATATGTTGTACCAGTTGGCCGTAATTTACGGCATTCCTATTCTCAAAAAAGAGTGGATCGACGTGGTTTGGAAGCAACGAAGGAATGTTAACTTTTGCGCAACAAACAACGCCGAAGTGGAGGCTCCCCATCGACTGAAGCCCTTCACCCGACTGCAAATTTCGTTGTACAACTATACTTCCGAAGAGGAGGCCGAGCTGCGTCAGGCGGTCTTAAAGAACGGCGGAAAGGTGCTGCCGGTCGGCGAGACGATTGCCGAAGGTTGCACGCATCTAGTGGTCAAGATTGTTCAGCAAGATCTTCAGCAAGCCGAAGTTAGCAGTTTGATAGAGGGAAGTGCTCACTTGCCGAAATATGTGGTCACTGACAAGGTAAAGAAAATGACTACGTAGAATTTTTGTTTTCAGTGCTTCCTATTTTCTAAACTTTTCAGTGGCTTACGCTGTGCCTTGAGACGTTGACTCGAGAAGATGAGAGCGGCTGCAGACTGAAGGTGCCTGGACTTTTGAACTTCTCGGCGACCATGGGCGGTCATCATTTTAACTACAACAGTTGCACTCCGTCAAAAGGGGATGATTCTATTGCCCATCATACCATGAGCTCCCTTCTCCTCAGTCCCAACTACGACAAATCCTTTGATGAGGTCAATACAACCGGTTAGTATCAAGCAGGCTTCAATGGACTAAAGGAAACTTTTGACACAAAATCTGCTTTCTTCTTTAGTTGACAAGGCCGACCTGAAGAAGCAGGCAATCACTCAGGAGCTGTACCAGACGGAGATGAACTATGTGACAATACTGAAGGATGTTCTCAAGGTGCAGCACTTTTACTATTTTAGATCAAATGACCAATTTCGTTTTACGACCACTATTACTTTTTAGATTTTTCACGAACCTCTGAAAAATCCTCGAACTCCGGGTGAGCTTCCAAATGAAATCGAATTAAAAACAATGTTTGGCGGCCTACCGCCGATCATTGAAGTCCACGAGCAGATTCTCCGTGAGCTAGAACCCGTTGTCGCTAACTGGAAAGCAGAAAATGAAGTGGGCAAAATTTTTCAAAAACATGTAAGTTTTCTCCGCATTTTTGTTTGTATTAATTATTTCAGAAACATCCTTTTCTTGGTTGTACCATTCTAGTCAAAGACTTTCCTCACAGTCTACCCGCAATACATCAACTTTTTTGAGCAGACGAAGGAGATGATTGAGACATGTAAACTGAAGTATCCTTGCTTCTCTAAGTTTATCAGGGCATCTCAGCTGAACGCTGAGTGCAAAAAACAAACCTTTCAGGAGCTGCTGATCAATCCAATTCAACGATTGCCGCGCATTGAAATGTACCTCAGAGGTGAGTGTGGGCAAAATGTGCGACAATATTTTACCTTTTTTATATTTCTAGTTCTTCTGAGTAAAACTGACAACCTTCACCCAGACTACCGATTGCTGAATGAAGCGCTTAGTACAATTGTCTCGGTTAACTCGTATGTTTTTATTTGAGAACTGGCTTGAGTTTATAGTAACACTTGATGTTTTCTTTGAATCAACAACAAACCAGGGAAATCAATCAGGAGAAGAAAAAGACAGAAGGTCGGATGGAGATGTTCGACATTTTGAATGACATTGAAGACGCTCCTGCGGATATTCTTTCTGCCAACCGACATTTGATTTGCATTTGTGACGCTCGTTTACTTGTGCAGTCGGAAGGGACAGTGAAGATGATTCACAAGCTTGAGCAAGTCTTTAGTTTGCTGCTGTTTACTGATAAAATTGTGGTGAGTATTTTTAAGTTTTTAAAATAATTTAAGGAAGATTTTTTACACATTGATGATAGCTATGCAAGAAAAGAAGTGGACCTATTAAAAGGACAAACTCAAAACGCGATAAGGCAGCATCAGTTCTGAAGAAGGCAAGAAAGTCATACAAACACATCGAGACTGTTGACTTTTCCATGCTTAGAGAGATCTACACTGAATTTGACGACAATGGTACAATATCCTGAGTATTTAAGATGATTGCTTTTCTTTTAATTTATTTACTTTTATTCTAGAACAAATTCCTGACGTGGAGAATGCTTTCGTAATGGTTTCTCATCCTTCTGATTGTTCTAGTCATTTTTCTATGTACCCATTCGTCGTAACAAAAAATAGCGAAATGAATAAGCAGAAGTTTGTCGCTGAAATACTGAAAGCCTATGATGCTCTGAAAGACCAAGATACAGATAGTGTAAGTTATTACAACTTTTATAAACGATTTTTGTAAATTTTAAGCATGTTTGTTTCTAATTTAAAGGAGCTGATTGCCGGGCAAGGGTGCGTTGCTTCTTTGGATTTTAAAAACGCAAGAAGTATTGCTCGAAATTTGAACAGATCCAAGTACGTTTTTATGAAAACAAAAGATAGAATCAACAGAACATTTTCTTCACGCCGCTCAATGGCTCATTTAAGATCGTCAGTTTCTTTGGATAACCTAAATGCATCTTTTACACGATGGCCTTTTAGTCCTTCTAAACGACCAACCTAAATAATTTTTTTTTCGCAAAAGTACACCGAAAACTAATGAGCTTTTTGGCGATTCTGAGTGGTTCAATTTTTTACCTTTTTACACTAACAGACACCCAGTGTCATAATATCTTGATTCCTTTTTACATTAATCTCGGCAACCTGATACTCACTAACAGTATAATTTTAATACATTTTTATTTATTATATGTGAATACTACATAAATAAAAAGTTTTACTAACAAGAAACTCGTATTATTTACTCAAAGGTTGTCTACTTTTTTGTTCACCTTTTTTACAATTCCCTATACTATGTTCAAAATTCATTCAAACAAAAAATAAAAGTTGTAGTGGTTGCGGTGCAGCCCGTTATAAAGTTTTTAAAAAGCACTCTTAAACTTGCTTCTTAATTTTTTATGTCTACAAACTTTCGTTTTACAAATTCTCAGTTGTAAACATAATTAAAGATGAATTCTAAATGAGCAAGTTAACAAGCTCTGCGTTTTTGTTTTTATAGAAGCTTGCCGGCAGAAAGCGAAAGCGGAAACATGTGCACTTTCTGCAGTTTTCTTTTGTACGAGTGCTTCTCTGCCAAAGCTCAGAGATCGGCGATCCACCGAAAACTGAGCACTGAGCACTGTGCGAAGAAGTGCGTTGGAACGAAGACAATGGCCGTTGAGGGACTGGGCGCAATGACGGAACCGGCTGAATGATTGCTGAATGGTCTCTGTCGAAGTGGGCTGCCTCCGTGTGTCTGTGTCTGCAGAGCTTGCCTCAGTTGACTGCTGCCGAAGAGTGCCAGTGCCAGGGCAAGTGATGGAATTGTCTGGAGTCGCCGCACAGCTCTCCCAATCGGCGGGTAGATGTCTTGGCAGCTGTTGGTGCCCTCTCTCTCTCCCACGGATCGACGCGCCGCTCTGCCGGACTGTCCGTGGCCATAGTCTCTCTCTTTCTCCCTCTTTTTCTCCCTCTTTCTCTCTCTCTCTCCTGCTGAAATCACTCCTTTCGCCAGGCTCTCTCTGGTCGTCGTCGGAGGGAAGCTGGTGCTGAGGGAAGCATCGTGCGTCGTGCGATGATCACAGTGTGTGTTTGCGTCTGCTGCTCCACTGGAGCTTCAATAATGAGAGCGATATATATAGCGAATACCTTTGCTTCATTTGCTGCTACCACCAAGCAGAAAAGCGTTCCAAATGAATTATAATAATAATTTGCAGCCGAATATCTTGCCCAAACGCAAGTCTACAATTTGAGGGAATGAGCAGCGTGTGAGAGCAGCAGCAACCGCAGCCGCAACCTAATGAAACGTTTCACCAGAGAGCTGAATTGTGCATCCAGACAGAGTGCACTTGCACAGAGTGGTGGCCTGTTTGCAGTTTATGCACCAGTCAATGAGTTCTATTCGGACACGATTGACATCGTCTACAACGCAAAATCGATTCCCGCTGTCTGCCGCCGCACTCCTAGCCGTCCTTTATTACTTGGCGCTCTCTTCACCCACATTTACCTAGTGATTTTCTCTGGTGCTTGGGCCTGCCATTCATACTTGGACTACCGAGTATTCGCTCCACCGATTGCCAACTACAACCGCACACAAGTTAAGCTGTTCGGCTTTGGAAGAAATTCAGGTCCACATCGGGTAGAATTCACACACCGCTTCTAAGAGTAAATTCTCCTACTGAAGACAACTCATCGCACTTTACAACGACGAGAACTACTACTACTGCTACTCATATGGTGCACTAGCTGCATACCTGCAAAGGTAATTAAGCGATACTTGTTCTGTCTTCAGCTCTGTGTACTCAAAGCTTATGTCGAGTCTAATTGATTGTTCGTCGTGTTCTGTTTCTGTTGTTGTTTTTGCTGTTAGTGTTCAGAGATTGCTTACATTGCTTACACTGAGCCAGTTGTCTGTGCAGACAGCACTTAATTGCATTGGCAAACACGTAAGAGAGTGCCTGTGTCGTCCTATTGATTAGCTGCCGTGTGCGGGTGCTAGTCTCGCTCGGAGGGACATATCTGCCTATGCCACTTGTGTCCGCGTCCAAGCCTATTCACCTTCTCTGCTACCAGTTCCTTCTCTGCTTCGCTGCGAGCCTAATGCCCAGTGTCTAGTGCCGACAGTGTCCACCGACAGTCCAGTGACCAGTGACCACAACCAGCACATAAAATATTCATTTCCTAATGTTTGATCTGACTGTTTGTCTTGAGTCTATTTTAATCTGCATGAATTCATTAATAAAATGCGGTCATTTTGGATGGTCTAACCAACCAACATGCCAGCTAACCAACCAGCCAACCAACCAGTCAACCAACCGGCCGTACTTAGTCTGTTGGCATATTTAATTTTTATTTATGTTTTCCCATTATAACTTACCCTAAATGCAGAAACCAAAAGTACTCTAATGCTGGTAAATTATTAAAAACTAATACTTGTACATTTTTTGACAAAGGAAAGGAATTAGACAATGCCAAAAGACAATTTAGTAAATTGTGATTACCGTCTCTACTCAGACAAGCAGGTCGTCAGCCTAACACAAGCTGAGAAGGACTTTTGCACATGCTACAGCATGGCAGTTCCTAGAGTAGCATTTCTGCACTAGTACATGAAAATTGCTCAGCAGTGAAGCAGACATTCACTGGCAGACACTGAGCTGCTGTGAAATTTGATTTATAGATTCTTTTATTTGAGATCGCCATTCACTGCTGCACCGCTGGCGACCGGTCTCAAGTGACTGTGAATTCTCTTTCAATCACCACCAGGATCAGTGTTGCAGCAAACTGCAGCCAGACTCACTGCCTCCTTCGTCGAGTTATTTTTAATAGCCAGCTTCTCTGAAAACAATTCATTTAATTATACTGGCCCTTTTTGTTTAGTTAAAAAGTGGTTTTTTATATCTCACACAATTGATCAAGTGTTTATCCTTATTATTGATTGATTATTAAGAAATTAGTAGTTTGAGTTTTTCAAAGTTTTTGTTTTTATAATCAAATTATAATTTTTTATTGTTTTGTGTGCAGTATGATTACAACTGTGGTAAATTAATGTCTTTGTAACTTGTATTCAGTAACAGAAGGACTCTGGAGCAAATTAACTTGTAGAAGTTGATGATGATGATGAATGGTGAAAGATGATCAAGAAGATAGCGCTTCCGGCGTTGCGTCCAGGCAGCAAGGAGACCAACAAAGTGGTGAAGTACTCCTCATGCAGCAACCGAATTGTCGATGATGATGACGGCCTCGATGAGGTGGCTGTGATCAGCAATGCTGACCCGGAAAGTGTTCGCTATGGCAGTGGCAGTCACCACTCCACCGCCAATGGACCTCGAGTCGTTCCAGGCATTATCACCGCCGGAATGGACCGCAGCAAGGTGCTCACCTCATCACTGGCCAGCAGCAGTTTAACTCAAAAGTAAGTACTAGTTCATTGTTGATTTTCCAGCTCAAATAAATCTAACCTTTCGCCATAAAAACAGAAGGCCTTCAACCGTGATATCCTCTAGTCTTATATCTCCTGGTCAAAGTAACGATAATCAAAATATAAAAAACCGGTGCTCTTCTAGGCAGTCTCTAATTGGCAGCGGTGAAATCAACAAAGTGAACATTGGTGCTAATGCTAATCCAAACGCTTATCTCGGCAATGGCAAAGACACTGACCCTAAGAAAAATGCGCCTCCTCAAGTTACAGGTAAAGGAACCTTTTTAACAAATAGTAAACTTAACCCTCATTTGCTCCTTTTGACTTGAACAGGGTTCGTTAACAGAGCGCACATAACCAGCGAGCTGGAAATACCAAAGAAAACGCGTGAGCAAAGACGGAAAGAGATTAAGAAGGAGTTTGAGAAATGGGAAACAACAAACGCCATTCACCACAAATCTGGCTGTAACTGGTCCTTTGTTTTTGACCCCTCTGGTCGGTTGTGCTACTACTGGTCAATGATCGTCAGCATTGCCTTCCTCTACAACTTCTGGACCATCATCTACCGATGCGCTTTTCAGGAGATCAACGAGAGCACTGTAGCGACCTGGTTCGCCCTGGACTACTTCTCTGACTTTATTTACATACTAGACATTGCAGTCAACTTTCGCACCGGTTACCTCGAGGAAGGCGTCCTCCAGACGGACAGTATGAAGCTGCGGCAGCACTACATGAACTGCACCATGTTCTACATTGACTGTCTCTGCCTGCTACCGCTCGATATCCTCTACCTTTCAATTGGCTTCAAATCAGTTCTCCGGTGTTTTCGTTTGGTGAAGATATACCGGTTCTGGGCGTTCCTGGACCGAACTGAGCGCCACACCAACTATCCCAATGTGTTTCGAACTCTTAGTCTGATGCACTACATTCTGGTCATTTTCCACTGGAACGCCTGTCTCAGTCACATCATTCACATGAAGGATGGCTTTGGCTCACGCGATTGGTTCACTCGCTCGAAGAATAAAAGCGATTGTGAGGGCGTTACTTGCGACTACCTCCAGTAAGTTATTCAGACAAGTGCTTGCCAAAAAAATCATTTGCAATTTTATTTGTAATCTAGCGCTATGTACTGGTCTGTACTGGCTCTAACTACAATTGGTAATGTCTAATAGTTGAACGGCGAGATGTCTCAATTAGTAACGTTTTTAAACATTTAGGTGATCTCCCGATGCCGCGAACCAAGAGTGAATATGGATTTCTTATAATGCAACTCGTTTTCGGTCTTTTTCTTTTTGCAAGTAAGCTGTCGTTCAAGTTCGTGTTTATTTCATTTTTTAAAAACTTACATTTTTGCTTTTTAGCCGTTTTGGGCCATGTGGCTAATATTGTCACTAATGTAAGCGCCGCGAGAAAAGAGTTTCAAGGTACAAAAAACAAGGAATGCTTCTTTGTGAATTGTTACAAGTGTTTTAATTGTTAATAGCAAAACTGGATGCTGTTAAGACATACATGAGAATGCGTCGAGTGCCTGATCATATCCAAACCAAAGTGATTCGCTGGTTTGATTACCTGTGGATGACTCAAAAATCATCAGACGAGGAAAGATCTGTTGGTTGCCTTCCAGGTATGTAAAGCTAAACAATCTTAGCTTTCATCAAATTAAATGTAGTCTTTTTCTGCAGATAAACTCAAAGCGGAAATTGCTATCCACGTTCACCTGGACACGCTCAAAAGAGTGGAAATATTTCAGAATACTGAAGCAGGCTTCCTTTGCGAGCTAGTGCTTCGGTTGCGCCCAGTTCTATTCAGTCCAGGCGACTACATTTGCAGAAAGGGCGAAGTTGGCAAAGAGATGTACATTGTTAACCGTGGAAGGTAAACTTGTTCTGCTGCTATTCCCCTGATCTACTTCACTCTCGTAACTTCCTTCACAGATTACAGGTTGTCACTGATAATGGAAAGACGGTACTGGCTACACTTCGAGCTGGAAGCTACTTTGGTGAAATTAGCATCCTCAACATGGGCACTGCAGGCAACCGGCGAACAGCATCAGTTCGTTCGGTTGGCTACTCTGATCTGTTCTGCCTCAACAAACAAGTAATTGAACTGACTGATATTAATTGTAATGAAAAATATTCAAAACCGTTACTTTAGGACATGTGGGATGTACTCAAAGACTACCCTGCAGCTCGAGTGAGATTAGAAGCAATTGCCGTGAAGCGTCTGGAGAAATACCGCAAGGAGCCTTTAAAGAAAAGTAAGTTGTGGAGCATGTACTTTGAATCTGACGCATGTGTTAATTCTCCTAATGTAAATAGTTGCAATGGGTCGAAGCCGGAGCACACCTGGTTTGGTGGAATCAAAGGGAAAGCTGCCCATGAATGAGCTGGACAGGCACAGGAAGGAGATCACTTCTGCCTCAACGGCGACCTTGCTTCCTGATGAAGAGTGCGACAAGGCTCTGCTCGCCGAAAGGAATGCCCTGGCGGGTGAAGTAGAGACGGCCAGTATGGCCAGCGAGGAAACGACCACTCTGAAGGCGGGCAAACAAGGTCAGAACATAGCTCTCCAGTCAGCCAGTCCGCAACCATTCGCACAAGTACTGAGCAGTGGTCAGTCGCCGGCACTGCTGTACTCTGGTCCTGGGGCGCACCTGTTGGCGCCCAATGTGACCCTGATGAACTTTGACAACCGCGCACAAGGGGGATACCAGATACCATTCTACCACGGACAGTACACGCCTTACTGTGGTCTCAGTCCGGCAGCATCCACTAACCACCTTTCAATTCCCTCGGCCTGCATTGGAACACCGTCGCCAAACAACTTTCTCTCCGAAGAGAACTCTGTCACCGGAGCACCAGTCAGTGGTACTGGAGGTGGTGGTGTTGGTGGTGGCAGCCAGTCAGAGTTGCAGTCTCAAGATGCTTTGCTCTCAGAAATAAAGCGTCTTCGGGAACGACTGCTGACGCTAGAGACGGAGAATGCCTCCATGTCAATGAAGCTGAACCAGCAGCAGTGGCAGGTGGAAAACAGGTAATGGGAACAGCAGACTGATGTTTCCAGAAATTACTAACCGTTTCACACCAACAGACTGGCTGAGATTGAACTGCAAATATGCTCAGCAACAAGTGGAAACTCCTGTTCGGCTCAACTAGCCTCAGTCAGCTCGAACAGCTCCAACGTAAGTGCCGAAGAGAATGAACGCAACAAAGAGTCCATCATCTGAACATCACCGCTATACCGCATTAAAAACTACTGTACAAACATTCCTCGGTTTTCGAACCGCAACAATTAAAACAATCAAAACGTTTCATTGTTTTTCCTGTCGCAGCCTCACTTTACTTTTTTCTCTTTTTAAATGATATATCTACTTTTTCGAATAAACATGTTTATAAAAAAAATGCACAATGGGTTCCATTTGTAAACCGAAAACAAAATATTTGCAATTTTTTGATAAATAATAAATAGTACAACCGGAATATAAGTGAGTTAATTGTGAAGTTTTTGTACAATGGGCTACTTGCAACAACTCATTTCAGTTGGGTCTTTTTAAATTTGACTTGGGAAGCAGTCTCGGGTTGATATTTCTCACATTTCCCTTTGCACCACGTTTTGTTTCTGTGCGGTTTGTTAAAGTAAAAAATATATGAATGCAATTGCAATATTTGGCAAAATTAGCTATCACTACTTACCACTTCCTTGCCCTCGTCCTAGACTTTGTCTTTCTCGGTCCATTTCTAGTTCTTCCAGTTTTTCAGTGAGTGATAGTTTTTGCTGAATCACAATTCTTAGAAGCGAGTTGAGCGTCTTCTTCTCATCTTCTGAAGCCTTAAACTTGCGCTGTAGCTCGTCAATCTGAGATACATAATCCTCGCATCGAGCAGAGAACATGGAGCGCAACGAAGCAAAAGTGGCAGCATCTTCTTTAAGTGCCTGTGAAATCAAACAAAAAACGGTGAAATGCATTAGCAAACGACTACCTAGTTTCCTTCTGGTAGACTGTACCTTGAGTTCGTTGCGCAGTTTGGTCATCGTCTCAGTGACCACAGCCTTCTCTGTCTCGTACTTGGACTTTAAATTGGCAAGTGCCACCTCTGCAGTTTGCTTGTTTGTTTTAAGCACAGTTCGCAGAGAGGCAATTTGCTCGCGCTTTGTAGAGAGAAGTGATTTCAGTCTAACAATCTGGTCTTGCAGATCTTCCATTTCCTGTACGGTAGACATCAACGATGTTGGCTGCTCTCCCTGCTCCTGACCGCCACTATTGCTGGACAGCTTCTGCATGGAGTTTCGGTTCTCTATCAAAGTGTCGATTGCCGACCGAAGCACCTTCAGCTGATCCTTGACAGTGTCTAGAACAAGATTGCACTCGACTGACTTGATTTCCTTAAGGGTGTCATTCATTAGATGCAGCTTCTCCTTTAGCTGCTCAATTTTGAGATTCGCATCAAAGTTTGGCTGCATATGATTCAGTATTATGCGATCAGGTGTTTGTCCGTTGACTAGGGGGAAACATAAAGCAAAATGTTTAGAATTAAACCAGCTGATAATCAATGGCGCAGACATACTTAGACATATGTGGTGATAAATAGAAGCTAACTCTTCGGACACAAGTGATAGCTCATCATGAGTTTGGCTGTAGTTGGTATAGAATTCTCGCAATAGCTTGGAAAGCGTTTCGTTGTCTCCTTCAAAATTGCTCTTATTGGCTTCGAGCTGTTCAACAAGACTTCGCAATCGGCTCACTTCGTTCTTAAAGCCGTTTGCGTCAATGTTGGACAGCTTTGCCTTAACCAGTTGCTTCAAATGCGACAACTCCGGGTCCTTTCCTTCATCAGTGCCATCATCCAAATTGAGATTATTCAGCTCCTCAAACATTTTTTCCACCTTAGTAGTTTGATTGACCAGTTCACTCTGCGCCTTTTCAAGTAAGCTTTGAGTGTCATCGAGTTTCTTCTTGAAAAAGTTCTTTTGGCTATCTGATTCTTCGAGAAGCTTTTCAAACTTTTTGATTTCATTTATATGCACTTCACTAAACAGTGAGCCCTCGAGTGACGGTGGCTGATTGACAAAGCTGTCAGAGTTGAGAAATTCTGATTCAATCTGCCTTAGAGCATTGTTCTCGTCGATGGCCTCATCGTAGTTCTCTGATGCATCACAGTTCAAATCATCTGTTGGTAGTTTAGTAAACAAACAAGCTCTTAGTATTTTTATACCAGATATGATAAACAAATAGCATACTTTCAAACTTTAAACCGGAGAAACCAACAAAACTGTTTATGTTGAGATAAGTTTCCGAACTGATTTTCTTGTCCAACTCCTTCTTTATGGCATATTTCTGTTCTCGTTCTGACTGAAGTGCTTCAAGTGCGTCTTGAGTCTGTAAAGTGGTTAAGAAAAAAGAACAATAAATGAAACATCATACTTTTATTGTATCAAAAATAAACCCAATTACCTGTTTCTCAGCAATTTGTTTCAGGTTTTTATTTTCATCAATTTGATTTTGCATCGTTTCAATGATGCCTTGAAGACTTGCAATCTCCACTTTGTACGTTTCAATGTCCACTTGAGAAGACTTTAACAAAGAAACCTGCTTTTGTAGTGATATATTTTCCTCGTCGAGTTCATTGTTTTCCGTAAGAAGCCGAGATTCACGAAGTTTGAAATCTTTCAACTCAGAAATTAACTTTTTGCGTTCTTTTTCGTAGATTTCCTTTTTTTCTTGCAGCCTTGTGTTTTCATGGTTATATTTGTCGCGGTCATCTTTGATAACCTTTAATTCATTTTTCACCTTTTCGTCACCGAGAACAAAGTCAAATGAATAGTTAGTTTTAAGAAATCTTTATATTAACATTCAAACATACCTGTTTCAATTCCCGCTCTAGCTCAAGTAAGGTCGAAGTGAAACTTTCTTCTTTTTTTGCACTTTCTTGTAAAAGCTGCTCTTCTTGTTCAATTCCACTGGTCGCAGAGACACGTTGGATTGTTTGTAGTTTGTTTAGTGCCTAAGTTTGCAACAAAAAAATGATCTGATTAAAAGCCTCAATCAAACTGAACAATAACAAACCTCACTGAGATCTTCAAAGTCCTTCTTTTCAAATTCGTATTTTGCTTCAAGTTCATTATACCGCTTTTGTAGCTCCTCCTTTTCATCCTGTTAAAAATATGAACACTTGATCACTGTCACTCATCACTAAGCATTTAAACTGACCAAAAGAACCAAACCAAACTGAGCTGATTGAATCTTCTCCGACGTGGCCATCTTCAGCTCCTCATTGAGCCGCTCAATATCAGCCTTGAGTAAGGCAATTTCACTTTGAACTTCATCACTGGTCTCCATTTTTGAAATATATTATTTGACGCTATCTAGCTGCCGCTTAGTCGGGCGAAATGCACTGAAAGTATCACAAGAGGGAATAAGGCTGAGTCAAGTGGGTTCACATGCAGGTGAGGAGTAGTGGACGGATGGTGGTGGTCACTGGTCTTCCGATCGTCCTCATGACATCTTCCCCACTGATTGTTGTTGTTGTTGATGTTGTCGTCGCTAGTGGCGAGTGTGACCAAGGCAGCCACTGCCGGTACCCGGCGAAGAGTCTGCTGGCTGAAGTGACTGGAGCACTGCTCGTCGGCAGCTGCTCACTCAGCTGCCTTAGCCAGTTCGACGGCGACCGCCCCAGACAGCCACTTCTCAACACAACTCGTCCTACGAGACGAGCACCACTTGCTGACGTGAGATGCCAGTGACGAGCAGTGTACCTTCGCAGCGTAGCTCACACCTTAGCCACCGAAAAGGGGGCACCATGCAGCTGTGCCCATCTCTCTTCCTAAAGCCATTGTTTTACCGAGGCGATTCTCTACTGACTAGGCAGAACATTCGCCAAAGAACAGGGAGATTCTCTTAAATAATTTTTAAAATTGTTTAATGGCTAAAATCAGAATGAGAAGGTGGTTATCAAAATCTGGTGAGAAGGGGTACAAAAGATCAGCTATAAAAGAATAATTACAAAAGGTCAAGCGAATGAGCAATAAATAATCTGATTGCCTGACCAAGTAATGTACAAAAGAGATAAATGCAAAGGTGAGATTAGAGGTACCTATCCTAAGCAGGTACACATCGAAAACTATGGCAAACTGGTACATATCACAGAGTCTAGATGCTCAAAGAGTGCAGCTGTGTTTTAAGAAATATTACAGCTCAGTGATTGGAGTCATCCTCAGCGGGTAGCGAGCAGTTAGATCTTCCAATCTGTTATCCTTGTACATAGTGTTGTACTCGCTGTTTGGTACAAAGACAAATTCAGGCTTATGGTAAAGGTCTATCTGGGTGTTTTCCGTGTAAAGCTGGTTTTTCACAAATCCGGAGAGTTGATATTTACATCTGATAATGAAGAGAACAATGACACCGATGATTATGAAAACTCCGAAAAATGCACCAATGATGATGGGAACGAAAGACTCGATGACAAAGCACCCGAATTTGTCTTTGTGCAATTTGATGACCAGCTTATTCTGAAGAGCAAACGGAGTAGCACACTTTACTTCCATGGCATTCTCCCGAATTATTAGGTCACTGTAGTTGTTGTTTAGCAAGCTGTCCATGTTGAACACATTGAAAGTGTAGTTTTTTCCAAAGAAATATTCAGGATTGGAGCTAATAGTCTTGTTGAACATCCGAATAAAATGAAAGTTGAGCCACTCTAAGCTGCAATTGCAATTGAATGGATTTCCTCTTACATCTAGAAAGAGATCAGCTGATTTTTTAAATCGCGTAATTAGATCAACTTCCAATGTAGTGAAGTTGTTGTTGGACAGTATCAAAGATGATAAGGAGAAGAGGTTATCGAAAACGTTCCGTCCAATATGACACAGATTTTCATTGTCAGATATTTCGAGCAACTCTAAATTATCCAGCCCATAGAATGCATTGTAATGAATGTCCTAGATAAAAAGTAAAAATGTCAAATAAAGTATTGATTCAGAAAAGTCAATAACATACCTTCAGCATTGAATTGTTTGAAATGTACAGAAATTGGAGTTGCTTCAAATTGGCGAAACCATTGGAATGCAGAGTCTGAAAACGGTTTCGACCAATGTTCAGCAGCTGGATGATGTTGTTCTCCAAGAAAGCGTTTGATGGAATGGTCTAAAATAAAAATAAATTATTTTTTGACTGAAAAACACAATAAATGAACGTACCTCGAGGTAGTTTCCGTCGAGGAATATATGACGTAAGTTGTTCATTCCTCTAAAGGCAAACTTGTCTACTTTGTTGATATAACAGTTGCTAAGGTCAAGTGACGTTAGCTTGGGAAGAGGGTTGAATTGATCATCATCAAGACTTTCCAACTGGTTGAAGCTAGAGTTTAAACTTAAGAGATTTGGAACATGTTGAAACAGATCAAATGTAAACTTGACAATCAAATTGTTGCTAATATTGAGATGAACCAGATTGTGCAAGCCAGTGAAAGCATCCTTGTTGAGTGCGCGAATATTATTGAAAGATAAGTCAAGAAACTGAAGAGCTTTCAGTTGTTGAAATGTTGTGCCGTTTAGCGCTTCGATGAGATTGTAACTCAAATCCAGTTTTTTCAGTGCAAACAACCCCGAGAAGGTATTTGGCTGGATATCGCTGATGTTGTTGTACATGAGCAAAATTGTCTCCATCCTCGAGTTGGCAATAAAATTCTTTTCGCCTAGCATTTGCAAATTGTTTGACGCCAAATCGAGAAGAATCAAATTTTTATACAGATCAAATGCTGATTTGATCCCCCGAATGTTGTTGTGTGAAAGGTAGAGCTCTTTTACGGATGGATTCAAGGTGTGTGGCACATAGTCAAGCTGCGCACTCTTGTCGCACCGGGCAATCAATTGCTGGTCATTGCAGATGCATCCTCGAGGACAAGTCCGTGATGCTAAAATACTGGAGCTCAGGGCTGCAATGTAAACTGCAATGATGCCCAAGGAGCGTAAACACGAATAGGGACGAAGATCCGGCATCCTGGCAATTAGTGGCCGATTTACATGCGATCTGAAAAAATCAATCAGCCAAAAGGTGAGAATAACCAGGTGGGGTCAGTTGATCAGAGTGAAATCAACCGAGTGAAAACATGTCGACAGCAAAAAGATGCCCGAATGAAGGCTACATTAGGGTTCAGGACACAGGACCGAATGGTCTGCACTATCCCGACTGGGCTGAACTGGGCACAGCAAAATGGCGATAAGGAGCGAGTGCGAGAGAGGTCCAGGATTGCCTGAACAACAGCAAAGAAAACAAACTCACTGAGAAGAGTTCCCTAATAGAATGTATTGGAAAAGTTCCCGCAAGCCCTCAATAAATGAAAATGCGGGAAACTGCAACCGATGCCTTCCTGGATGTGTCTCCATTTGTCTCAGTTTTTTGCATTAATTATAAAATATTTAAAATCTACACATATGTAATATTATTTGAACTTGTTAAAACCAATCTGCATGTACTAAGCAAATACTAAATGCGAACGTTTATTATTAGAATGGTAAAAACTGAAATAACAATGCGGTTGAGTTGATTGCGAGATGTTCACATTCAAATTCACATGACACACGCGGGGGATTTGTAAAATGCCAAACTCTAACTCATTCATCAGAAATAGGTGTTATAGAGTTATAGAGCCTCCTGACAGTTTCAGTTTCTAGCTATCGATGTATAGCTTTCTTCAAATTAGACAAATGTGTCGAATGGCGCATTAGGAGTATGCATGTATTAATAGTGCCATTGCGGTTTCAATGTAAACTCATCAGGCTGACTGTGGCCCTGGTTTCGGTGGCTGAATGTACGGTCGCCTTGAGAGGTGCCTTCCATTGGCCGAAGAAGCACTCTCCGATGCCTTTACCTACTGCCATTAGCGATAATAGACAATTGGCGTCACCTTTAAAGGGTTGCTACTTTCCTCTTGCATCCAATCAATAAGGCAATATCAACTTTCTCCCGTTGGCAAACAGTAACCAACTGATCAATGCTGGGGATTTTTCTCATCAAACAGTCTGCAACTCTCTTTCTTTCTCTATCGCTTTCACTCTTTCTTGTGCCATTGACAGTGCAGCGAGCAAAAGCGTCAACGGACCAACAAAGGAGCAACAAGTAGTCACTTGCCTTTGCCTTTGCCTTTGCCTTTGCCTTTGCCTTGTCTCCTAGAGGCGACGACAAGAACGTCGCTTTGAGGTGCCTCAACTGCGACTGGCGAGGCTGACTGCGACCGAGCTGCCGCCACAACTGCCCCTCGACCCACGATATTGATCTATGATAATGGGAAACCAAGCGTCGAGGCGTGCCACGCGGATCACCGCTAATTTGCGCTCGCTCTCTGTGTCGGCGAGAGGTGATTGCGCGAGAGCAGCAGACATTGCCACGAGAGATTACGAAAGCGCATTTCCTCTATACGGCACAGTGAGGAGTGTACAGTGCAGGCAGTGAGTGAATGAATGAGTGAGTGCAGTAGCAAGTCAGTCAGGCAGGCAGCTCAGTGGCAGTGCTGCACTAATGGCACACACAGTAGTAAAGCNAGTGAGGAGTGTACAGTGCAGGCAGTGAGTGAATGAATGAGTGAGTGCAGTAGCAAGTCAGTCAGGCAGGCAGCTCAGTGGCAGTGCTGCACTAATGGCACACACAGTAGTAAAGCAACATTTTGACATTGACTTCCGCCATTTCGTGCTGCACAGCTAAATGTGAAAGTGATCTTGGTCAGCTCGTAGTCCTGTCTTTGTGTGAGTGTGAGTGTGTGTCTTGGTCATACTGTTTGGATGCTGTTGTTGCCGTGTTCATTGCAGTGCTCACCTCGAGACACCTTGAAATGAGCTCGTAACTGTTGTGAACAGTGCAGCCTGCGCTCAAAACTCACTGCGTGCACCGCTTACTATGGCGCCCAGTCAGTCTTGCTCGCATTCAGGGCTACTTTCTTCAAGCGATACGGCGCACAATGGCCGCAGGCTAATTAGCCAAAAACGCAAGGAGAAAGTTGGCTCTCTCTCTCTCTCTCTCTCTCTAATTGAACCGATTTATTCTGAGCCAACTTTCACTTTGCCTGCACGCAAATATTTGCTCGATGCAGTGTCTGGCGTGCTGTGATGAGTACTCACATTCGCCACGAACACGACCGTCACTTTGTCGCCTGCTGCTCAGTGGCACAATGTTGCTGTCTCTGGTGCTGCAGCTGTTGCCTAGTCTTGTCATCCTGAGCAGTGGTCGTCCGTCCGCAAGAGGAAACTGTCAATTGGCCAATTTGGTG